CTTCGTACAAAATTATTTCAGTCTATCAAAGTCCAAACTTCTCATTTTTTTCTAGTATAAATAACTTTAGGTGAAATAGTAAAATACTTTTACTTTTTATTATAAAAAAATAAAAATATAGTTTATTGATAAAACAAAATAATTTCCTACATCGCCAAAAAAACCTCTTCAAATCATTAATTATTATTGAAAATATTAGTTTATCACAATTATATTCATTTATATTAATATATTTTATTTTTAAATAAAAAATTACACAAATAATATGCTTAAATAGAATTTAATTAATATATTATTATTAGGCGGGCTGGGCTGGGCTCGCCAGAATTATTTTAAACTCAGGCCGGGCCTATATTTTTAAGCCCAATTTGAAATTTAGTTGGGCCTATCTTACCCGTTTAAGAATTGGGTCAGTCCACAATGCCAATCCAAAATTATCACTTTTAAAAATTACTTTCTCCATTTCACTTTAGTAGTTCAATTTTCTTTAGATACGAGATCAATGATATAATTAAGTAAATAATTAAAGATATATTAATAAAAATAATTATATATTCAAATTAAAATAAACAATTAATTTATATAAAATTAAGAAAAAATATATATAATTATAAATTTTAAAATACGATTAAAATATATAGTTATTTTTCATTTAAAAAAAAAAAAAGTCAAGTTATGTGTAATCGATGAAAATGAAAAATATGAACAAATGATGTTTGATGAAAAAGTACAAATTAACATAACGCAATAATTTTAAAATATATATATTTTATTTAAACTTAAATAATTATTATGAATAGCAAGTCAAGTTTGAGCCTTTAAGAAGCTTACAATTTTTTAATGTTAAATAGGCCAGCCCAACTCAAGTAATTACTAAACATTTATGGATGTGTCTACTTAGATGATTTTTATTTTATTTTTTTTTAAAAAAAATAGTAGATTAGGTTAAATTTTATAAATAAAAATCAAAACATTTTTTACAAAAATCAAAATAATCATATAATAAATAAACTATACAATAGACAATGTTTATTAGAATTACTTATCACTATTTTAATTGGTTGGATAGATTTTATTTAATTGACAATATATATATACATACAATGTAATGTGTATTGTATGATTAAAATAAAGTTTGAATATATATATTTAAGTTTTAATATAAATATCATCTTATAGATAATATTTTTTATATAAATAAATAAATAATATATACTTTTATATGATTGATAAAAAAATAATTTTATAAACTGTTGGATAATCGGTTATTTTGCAATCGATTATTTTGTGAGTGAAAATGCTACCGGCTGTGTATCAAATTAATTAGATTAATTTGGAAGAAATAAATAAATATTATTTATTTATTGTGTACAGGGTTTGGTTAATATTTTGGCTATTTTGTCTGTCTCGAGACAAATCAAATTGTGCAACCCCAAATTAAACCCACAGTATTATTTGGATAAACTATTATCCGATAGATTTATTATAATCTCAAACAGAAGGTTTGAAATTAAAATAAATTACAATTGTTTCAAACTTTAAAATTAGAATAAATTACGATCGTCACAAATTGAAGGTTTGTAATTAGAATCAATTAGGACTGCTTCAAACGGAATGTTTGAATCTATAATTAATTACATCGATAATTAAGGTCGTAATTATGATCGTAATTGATTGTCTGCCATTTTGGCCGAGTGGAGACGCCTGTATAAATGGCCTCCCCCTTCGTTCTAACAAATACAAACAATTCTTTCCTCTTTATCTTCTCTCTTTTAGCTTTCCGGCAGTCTCCCCACTCTCATTGGAAATAGAAACCGTTTTATCTTTGGATTAGAACATCATCTACCGGAGACACTACTGTCTTCGACTCGATTTCACGTTTATTCTCGCAATACCCATATATTCAAACATAAACAATCAAGATTGTAAATATTTTAGAAACGGTATAAATTTTATTGAGAATAGTGAATCGGGAAATTTTTTTATTTGAAATAAAAAAAAAAAACAAACACTCTCTAAATAATCAGCTTTATTTAGATAAGATAGTTTTGAAGTTTTGAATATAATACAAAATTGTACTCTATTTAATATGATTTTCTAAGAGAAAAAAATTTATTTTTCATTTGTATAACCTAAATGTATTCGATTTTTTTAAAATAAAAATATTTTATATTTTAATAAATAAAAAATATGCTTACACTTTAAAAAATATTATAAATTATATCATTAAAAAAAAAAAAAATTTAAGAGCAAAATTATTATTACCTAGAAAATAATAATATATTAAAATCCACTTACAATAAATAAATATATATATATAACTAAAAAAAAAAGGATTTAATACTATATTAAAAAATAGTAACAAATTTCCAAAATTAATTGCACAAACAAAGCCAAATCTTTCAAATATAATGAAGTAATAGAGGAATTACACCAAAATTAAAGTAGGCCAATTTTCAAATATTTTAAAATCTAAATTCAAATCCAGCACCGACTCCTCTAGGCTCTAACCCCTACACATCCACATTATTATGCATAGCTGAATATCCATAGGTAAAGTATTTTTTTTAAAATTTATAATAAATTAAAATTAATAATAATATTTTATTAATTAGTAAAGATATATTGAATAATTTTGATATTTTTATTATTTGTAATTTAAATAAATATTAAATATATTTGTTATTACTATTTGATTATTTTCATTGTAGGAAAAGAAAATATTTTTTTAGTAACACATAAAAATAATAAAAATAATTTTTATAGTTGAAATGAAAATAGTATTTTTTTTTAAATATATAAAATCATAAAAATAAAATTATTACTTTTTAATATATTTTATTATGTTTTATATTATATATATATATCCTATATTAAATTTGGCATAGTGATTATATATTAAGCGTATATTATTATTATTATTATTATTATTATTATTATTATATTATATTGTAGTTGAGATTGTAGCGGCATGTATGTTACGTAGGTAACGCGGTGCCCGACACGTGGTTGCATGAAAAATCGTGCGTGCCAACTCGCACATGGATAGGATAGAATGCCTCCAGCACCCATCTATGTATATCTCTCAAACTTTTTAGCCACTAATTTAATTCAGAACGAGAATTAATTATATTGTTCGGAAAAATCGATCATTCAAACCAAAAATGTAAAAAAAAGTTATAAATTATATATAATATTTTTTTAAAATTATATTTTAGTATAATTTAAAAAAAAAAATGTAAAAATAAAAGATTTTAACAATAAATTAAATTTAATTTTTGTAAAATTAAAATAATATAATTTTTAAAAAATATAAAAATTAAATACTACAAAAAAATTTAAAAAAAATTAAAAAGAATATTATTTCTCTGTTTCTTTCTGTATATATTTCTATTTCTCTTACGTCATTTCTATATACCAAATACACCATAATAGTTTATAATTTATTTAATTATGATTTAAAATTGAATTAAATTTAATTATTATTATAATATAATAGTTTTATTAAAAATTATAGTGATAGTAAAAAATTATCTTAATAAAGAAATAAATATTAAATATACTTCCCCATCATCCGACTAAGTATGCCATTTTTAAAAAAAATAATTATAGAGAAAATGTATATTAAAAAATTAATTGCTCACTTTCTCCTTTTAACATATATCCATTTTTTTTATTCTGTTTTGTCAGATAATATTATAAATATTATTTTAATTATATATTAAATAAATATGATTATTTTTATATTATATAATAATAATAAAGTTAGTTTAGTTTTTTTTACTTTTATTTTACTTACGTCTTAATATAATATTAATATTTTTAAAATTTTGTACAAAAATCAAATGGTGAAATAGATATGGAACTAGAGATTATTTAAGTTTAATTGATATGATACTTATAATAAAGTGATTTATATTTTTATTTATTTAATATTTTATAGATGAATTGGTTATTAATTAATTTTTATACAAATTATTAAATACAAATTATTAGTGTTAAGTATTTATAACAATGGTAAAATTTTATAGATATAAATTTAATGTAAGTTATTTGTACAAATTACTGTAATAATTAACATATACTTTTTCTACATTTTATTGGATTTTTTTTCAATTTTTTTATAAAAAATATTAAATTTAACTCTTATTTTATTTTATTTTTTTATCTTATACTCCCTCCGTCCCACATACCATGTCCATGTTGCCGTTTTTGTCCGTCCCACATACCATGTCAATTTTTTTTTTTTGGAAAATAATTATACACTTTAATCTTATTTAAAATTTTTTAATTTATTTTTTTAATTTTAATTAAATAAATTAGTTATTTTAATCTTAATTTATTTAAAATTTTTTAATTTATTTTTTTAATTTTAATTAAATTAATTAATTATTTTAATCTTAATTTATAATTATTTATATTATAGTATAATTATTTTCACTAATACATTCTTGTTAATTATCGACTAATTACACCACTTCTAAAATACCGTGTGCTATGTGAGATGGATGGAATACTATTAAAAACAAAATTATATTAAAAATATCATATTAATATATATTTATCACATTAAATAATTATTCAAAATTAAGATGGTTACTACTTAAATTTAAAATTCAAAATTTCAATTAAACAAATCCTTAGAATTTTCAATTTGGCGAAAATTTGGCCCAGTCATGCTGAATCCTTTTTCGAGTAGAATTTTTAGAACAGATTTTTTTCGGTTGTAATTAAAAATAAGTTATTAAATAATTATGAGTAAAAGAAAAAAGTAAATAGATATATTTAATTCTTACTATTTTTTCATAGTAAAAAATAATATATGTAAATGAGACAATTAAAAAAATTTCGACCCATTTTAAAGGTGTATATACATCACATTTAATATTCTTATTTTATTCAAAATATCAATTTTTTTTAAAAAAATAATACTTCAAGTAACTAAAATCAAGAAAATAATGTCCACAACCATTGAATAGTAGTTGATGGTCTATCCAAAAATGACAAATGGTACCGTACGCTGATTCTTTAGTTTTCGCATCACACCGACCGGGTTCTCAGATCCAGGAACTTCCCCTTTTAACTTGGTCCCGTCGTGCACGGCGTGCTTATCCTACTGCTGCTCACAGCTACCCGACTGTCCTCTAACCTTTAATGCTCCTACTTACCAACGCCCGGGACCTCAACACCAGACGAAGCAACTTCGCTCGTGTTCAGGATACCCCCTTCGGGTCCCGGAGTCCCCGGAGCTTCGAAGAATCCACAATCTTACGTACTGACGTTGATCTCTCTCGTGGAAAGAACAAAACGGAGTGAGATTCAATCGGAAACCTAAGCCGTTGGTGTTTCGGAAGATGAATTCTCTGCACAAAAAAATTCCGGCGAGCGAGGTATGCAGGGAATATGCCGCCGGTGAGCCGGAAATACAGTCCGACGGCGAGGAATTTGCATCTCAGGCGGCGTCGCAGTCCGCCTCTGTAATTGCAGCCAATGAGGATCTTATAGCGCTTGTTTTGCTGCGTTTGCCGTTGAAGCCATTGGTGCGATTCAAATGCGTTTCCAAACAATGGCTTTCGATGATTTCCGATCCGTTCTTCACTCGCCGGAAGAACGCGGAGCTCTGCGGGAACGCCTCCGGCTTGTACGTATTTCGCCGGAATTTTCTGCATTTCAAGCCGGAGTATGACGTCGTTCCGCTGAATGAGGATGTTGTGAACTCTTCTTCTCCAGCGGTTGCGCGTACTCTTAGTTCCGACGAGAATCAACCGATTAAAATCCTTCAGTCCTGCAACGGATTACTCTGCTGCCGCAACGGTGGGCTGAAGGACGGCAAGTACAGTTACTACGTCTGCAATCCGACGACGAGGAGGTGCGTTCGGCTTCCGGATCCTCTCAATCGAGCTTTCACGGTGAACGACGGCAGCGAATCAGTGTACGCAGTGAACTTAGCTTTCGATCCGCGAAAATCACCCCACTTCAAAGCCGTATGCGTCTACTTCTGCGAAACGGTGAAATACCGTTTCGTGATGGATATGTACTCATCGGAGACCGGAATCTGGAAGCGCGTCGGCGATCCGTTGTCCGGCGAAATTAACTTTCACATCGGAGTGTTCTGGAACGGCGCAATCAACTGGTTCAGCTTATGCGGCGACGGATTGTACTTCAATCTGGAGGAGGAGCGGTTCGGGAAGCTTCCGATGCCTCCGATTCCCGACGGCTGGGAGGAGCGGAGAATTAGGTATTTCGGCGAATCGAACAATCACCTCCATCTGGTTGAAATCTACGGACCTTGCACAACAGAATTCAACGTCTATGAAATGGACGAGGATTACCGCGGATGGAAAGTGACGTACCGTGTGGACATCGAACCAGTGATGAACGCCTTCCCGGAGTCAATTTCCAGCTGGTTAGGTCCTTCAAGGATGCGCTACTACAAGTACCTGATACTGAGCATCATCCGGCGAGGAGATGGCGGCGGCGGCGACAGCTCGTTTGTTGTTGTGAACATCCCTGGTAAGGCAATAAGGTACAATCTAGAGGATAAATCATTCTACAGTATATGGAACTTTACCGGTGGTGAGTGTGATCATCCTCGTGGTGGTTCTACACTTCCTATGTTTGGTTGGTTTGATGCTTTTCAGTATATTCAGTGCATATGAATGATAATATCAAACTTTACCTTTCTTGGTCATCACTACTTTCTTGTTCTGAAAATTGCTCCTACTTCATCTTGCTCGTATTTTCGAATATATTGCATAATCTAGAAAATTATTATCGATTTTGCTAGCGTTTATTCACAATGGTTGCGTGTATATGCAACCATTGTCTATACCCGACTCTTAGAACAAACAAGAACAATGTAGAAATCTGTGTGGAGCTTTTTGTACACCGAATAGAACGTTATACGGATCGACTGATCGACTGGCCTCGTTTGAGGACCAGTTCTTAAACCTATAACCAAAATATAATACTTTGTACAACCAAAATAGCGATGTCTGGGAAAGAGCAATTACCGGGAAGGCTTTTTTTTTCCCTGTCGAAAATTCTGGTGATTATTTTGGACATGGTGTGAAGAATCTGTGCAGCATTATATTTTTGGGATGAGATCACCTCCAAATAGTTTCATTTGCATCGGTGAAAATGGCGTTGTGATGCTCGATCAAGCACTGAAGAACTTCGATAGCACAGAGGTCTACCGGCTGCCCGTCATCGAGGGGAATTGAGGATGATACATCAAGGCTTTCACCATCATCTGCAAAGCGACGAAGCAAAAGTAAAATAAAATTACTAATTCTACGACACTAATGAAACTGTTCTTAAGTAATGCCTTTTCATTATTGGCAGTCGACTTCGACCTGGTGTTTTTATTGAATTTTGCCTACTATGCTAACCAGTTATTGCTAGTTGGTTCAGGACACGGCAATGAAATTTAATTTCTGCCCGGACATGGAAGTATTTTGTGACATTTATAAGTGAAACATGGTCTGAAAATTACCTGCAAGAATGTCCTGCACAGTGTAGTTGGAGTCTGAATTTAAGTTCGCCCCGGTATCAGGTTTCGACTCATCATTCCAACATTGCTTATAATGCTCGGGTCTCTCGCCTCTTGGCCACATGATGATGGAAGCCATTTCCACCGAGAGATTTCGGGCGTCCATCTGTGATAATAGTGTATCGTCTTTAGTCTCATCATCATCGTAAAATAAGAATGATACAATAGAAAACGATGAAATAAGAGTCGTTATTTATTTATTTACACCATGAGATATGCACACACAAAACTATTAGTTTAACTAACAAGTTACATGAAATCAAATTTGTATATTACCTATCACTAGAAGATCAAACCAGAGAAATTATTAAACCAAGGTGAGTTAATTAGCAAGCATTAATATTAAAAATCGTATTAGGAAAAAGATTGATCAAAGTTACCTTGTTAAGAACAGATTTCTGGCTAACATGAAGCAGTAGGGATGTAACCAATTCCAGCGTCATATAGTTAACCGTCGGAAGCTTCTTGAGAATATTTGCCATTTCATTTATGCTTGATCGAGCATTTTTTATTTCACTATACAGCTCAAAGGTAGTCAATGGCTCCGGGAGGCTAGCAATGTAGCATTTGATCAGAGCAGCAACATCTACTGAATTTACACCATCGGGAATTGATGCATTCGGATCTGAACATTCAGTAAAATATATGGGAAGAATGAGTGTTGGGAGAAGACACAAAATATACAAAGCCAACAAAGTGGGAGAGTGTACGGAAATTACCCTGATTATACAAAGATACCAACTGTCGTAGAACCTTTTTGTCTCCTTGAGCCTTGAACAGGTACGGCGAATTCAAACCTAAAATTGGAGAAGACGGGAAGTTGATGCCAAATAATATGTTCTGTTATACATTACAATATAACTGATTCATATTCAGACGAGCATTACTCACCAGATAATATAAGACAATCAGAACATTTGATTAGTATGTTAGGCACCAGTGCGTTAGACTGCTGGCGCTGGACAGTGACCTCAATCGGAACACCAAACACTGTTCAAACAAGAAAAACAAATCACGGCTAATTACCAAACCATAAGGATGAGATTAACCGATATGCAAAAGAAACTTGTGTTTCAGCAAGAAAGAAACTCAGAACATGCTTGCATCTGTAATAGTATATCTGAAAACAACATACCGGTTCCTAAAGTGACCGGGTTTTTATTAATTATTTATTAATTTATGGAGGAGAGAAAGATCTAATCTTCTGCACATTAGGAGAGCAAATGACGAAAATTATACAATAGATAAAGGAACCTACCATCAGTACTTGCAACTCCCTGTGAGCAAGAGTAGAAAGAAACATCGTTAATCTTACAAATTCATGCCTTAAGGAAAAATACTGGAGATTATTTAAATCATGTAACCTTTTGCCATCTTTCAATGTCGGTCAGCAGTGTCTTGCTCTTTTGTGCAGTCATCTTGGCCACCTGTAAAATCATTTCAGGGCCAAAACAGATATATCGTCACTTCAAATGCAAAAGCTTGATCTTGCATAATTTGTTTATAAATTGTTAAATATGGTGGCAGGCCAATTTTTGTGCCATGGAAGAGCATATCTAAATGGACTATGAATTGTTATCCAAATGAAAAACAAACGATGAAGTAGTAGAAATTTAATTAACGACTGCAGAGAAAATGACCCCCTGAAGGAAAGAACACATCCAACAATTGAAATTAATCAAATCTATGTGGTATTTTCTAGTTCCAATTATTGCTCGTGGAGAAAGTTTCCTCAGCAGCATTTTCAATAAACTATCTAATACATATATTGCCCGAAAAATCAGATAGCCAATACCAACCATATCAAAACAATTGACTGTTCTGTACCATATTACAAATCGGCTAAAATCCAATTTCTGATATATTGCACACCCATAAACAAAGTCAAATCAAGAAAAGATATTCCCCAAGACGACAAGTAACCAAACCCGTTAATCAAATTCATTAGCCGACAAGTATTATAATAATAGAGCTTCAATATCAAGTTCACCACTACTATTTAATTCGTTACCTCTTCAACTTTTGTCTTCCCAACAGAAACTTTGTCTTTTGTCTCCGTAAGTCCCTTCCTCAAAAACATGCTTGTAGTAGCGGCAGCAGATATAAGGCGCTCCTGCATAGCATGTCTGGTAGATGGCTTTTGGAGGATATCCCATCGACTTTTCACTGCTGATCCGACTTTCTCTGCCACATCAGCAACATTTACTTTAGCATCCTTCGCAACGTCCCCAACAAAACTGCCAGCACTGTGTCCAGCTTGCTTAAGCTTTATCCCTGTTCATCAATGTTTCAGGCCAATGGTTACCACTCATCATTCAGAAACAGACATAGATGTATATATACATACCTATCTAGATAAATTAAGAACACAGAGTTGCTTATGCTCCTTTGCGAAAAAAGATTTTTCACAAGATTCCATGTATGGCACAAGGTATGCCATGGTAAATATCTCATGCTTTATTCGAATACTCAATTTTTTTTATTTTTCATTCACAACAATCACTTATATGTATAAATACCTGAGGTTTGAAAGAAATCATTAGCCTTCTCTTGCCACTGAGGTGAGGTTGCTGACGGCATTTGCAGTGTCCTCAATACCAGTTTATCAAATAAATATATATTTTAATCAACCTGTTTCGATATAGTAACACAAGATATGAGTAAATTGCATTTAACCAACAAGCAAAAATTTCATGTAACAGTGGGAATTCTTGATCATCCCAACTCCTGATAGCCAATCCATAATAAAAATCAACATGAGACAACCTCCGATATATATATATCAGAATCCACAGATGATGAAATTATAATCTGCTGATATAATTAAATCTTTGATTAATCATACATAAACTGATCTAAAAATCGTGCTCCATAACAGTCAAGGCTCTTTCAAACACAAAATCATTCCAAAACACAAAAAACAAACCATCCACGACACTAAATCAAACTCAATGCCATAACTCCATTCAGAAAAATAGTTCAACGCTAAAACATCAATTAAGCTTCAAAAGAAAATTATCAAACACACAAACACATGATTCGCAGAAATCGAATCATATCTTCACTAATCGCTTCACAAACTATTCCATGGAGGAAATCAATAAATAAAAACCACAGAATTTCATCGAGTTCCCAAAAACCTCGAAGAGGAAAAGAACTAGGGTTTCTCACCTTTACCAGTGATCGAAGCTTCGGCTATCACCACGGACACGGAAGAGAACGAACGAGACCACGCGAGAAAAATAATAATAAAATATATAATGATAATAATTAATTAAGCACAATAAATAAATAGATAAAATTATTGCATATACCTAAACAGCGAAGAAGTGAGAATATCGGATGATCACCTATCATAATATAACACGTGGATCCTTGACAGGCCATGACTTCAACGGTCGTACATATTCAAATTAATTAAATTGAAATATTTTGGCTGTTCTTTACCCATCACATTTTCACTGAGATTATTTATTTTTAAAAAAATATCACGTTAAATATAATTTTTTTTCTAATAAAATATCAAATATCAATTTTTTACGTTTTTTTTTCAAACTTCAAATTTTTAAAAATCTCTAAAAATCTCTATCTAAACAATTTATCAATGTTCTACTAAACATTTGAGTGTATTCTTTTTACATCAAAATTTTTAAATATATTTTTTTAAAAAAATTAATATATTACATATATTTATTATTTTATATTATTTACATCATTTTTATATTTTTATAAAATATATTCTTCCAAAATTTTAAATTAAAACACAAAACAAATACACTTTGATATAATTACCTTTTTATTATTTTTATGATTATTTTATCTGTTTCTCTACAATGATATTTATTATCATTTAAAAATATACTTTATCCGTTAATAAATTAATTTTTTATTTTTTTATTATTTTTATACAGAAAAAAAAAAAACAAATTTGCCATTTTCTAATAAAAATTCTAATTGTGTAAATAAATGTAAATATCAAATATGACGTTAAAAAATAAACTGAGAAATAATAATTATGCATATTTTTTTAAGAATTCATTGTTTCATATAAAAAATTTGTAATTAATTAACTAATACTCAAAATCTTTTAATTTTAAATTTTTAAATTTTTCAAGAATATATTATAAATAGAACTCAAATACATTTCAAAATATAACACTAATCTATATATTTTCAATCATATTTTTTTAAGTTGTTTGTATTTAATTTTAAATTTATTTCTCTAATTCTTTATATTTAAAATCAACAAAATAATTAGTGAAAATAGTAATTTTATAACTAGCCTTTTAATCAATTTGTCGGAAAAAGAACTCTTACTTTGATACATCAATCAAAATTTATTTCAATTATTTAAATTTTTAAATATTACTAATCCAATGTATTCTAATGATTTTAATATTTTCAAACAATAATAAAAAATTATATAATATTACTTCTTCCATCTTACAAAAAATATTTATTTTTTTTTTAATTTTAATATGTCATATAACAATATTCATTTCCTTTTTTTTTTTTTTTTTAAGTAAACGTACTATCTATCTAATATTACAAATGTCTTTACAACTTCCAATATATTACACAAATATCATCGTCTTTATATTTTACAATACTAATAAGATCATTTTAGTCATTCAAACTTTATTTTTACTATATTCCAATATAATATTAATATTTTTAAAACTACGTCCAAAAAACAAATTGATAATTGGAGGGAGTATCATAATTTATATAAATTAATATATTGAAATTAAAATCCCTCCGTCCCAAAACTACAGTATAAATTGGGTTAGACACAGGAATATTGATATTATATTGGTAGTGGGTAAAAAGTACGGATAAAAGATTTTTTTTGCCTTTACGAGTATATCAGTGTAAAAATTATGTAATAATAATGAAAAAGTAAGTTTAGTTTTACAGTGATATAATTATTTATGAAAATGAAACTATTATTTTGGGACGAACAAAAATAATAAATAAGATTATTGTATTGGGACGGAGGGAATACTATATATTAAATATTATTCCCGCTTTCCCAAATCCGGCATCTGAGGTATCGTTCTATACTATCACTATTTCTATTTTTTTTAGTTTTATATAATTTGTTTTTTTAAAAAAATATAAGTATATATTTTAAATTTATAATTTATAATTTTTTATTTTAATTAAATTATTTAATCTATTTAATTTTAATTTAAAATTATTTTTATTAATATATTTTTAATTATTTATTAATTATCAAATATCTAATAGCTAAGTTGGACATTTTAAGTGAAATAGAGAAATTATAAAATAATAAATAAATGAATTCATCGCCATCTACGCATATTTTCATATATATATATATATATATATATATAACTATTGCTTTTCTTTCCCTTCCCCCAATTCATCGTCATCTCCGTTGCACTGCACCTGCTTCAATGGAAACTCTTCAATCCAACCACACCGATTCCCAAATTCAGCCTTCATGCTCCTACGATCAGCTCGACGATGTCCAGAATCGCACTGAATTGCACCCGCAATCGCAATCGCAATTTGAAACCCCAGACAAAGCCCTAGATGCATTCAATCAAGTTCCTCATAATGCTGGCGATGGTTCCTCGGCTCTTCCCAAGCCTGATTTCCCGAGGCCTCTCTTTTCAGGAAGCGGTTTAACTAGCGGCACCGACAAGGACTTCTCCGGCGGCGAGGAGGAGACCACCAGCCGAAGAAGGAGACGCTCCAGATGGGATCCGCCCCCGACCGATTCATCCAATAACGATTCCGGCGCCGCCGGTGGAACTGGCGACGGCGGCGCTGGAACTGAAGGAAGGAAACGCAAGTCGAGGTGGGCGGATGATGAGCCGAAGCCGGTGATCCAATTGCCTGATTTCATGAAAGACTTTACTGGAGGTATTGAATTCGATCCTGAGATTCAAGCATTGAACAGTAGGCTACTTGAAATTAGTCGTAAATTGCAATCTGGTATGACATTAGATGATCGTCCAGAGGGCGCTAGGTCGCCCTCTCCAGAACCAATTTATGATAATATGGGAGTAAGGATCAATACAAGGGAATATCGTGCAAGAGAGAAATTGAATAGAGAGAGGCAAGAAATCATATCACAGATCATTAAGAAAAATCCAGCTTTTAAGCCTCCAGCCGATTACAGGCCACCAAAGCTTCACAAGAAGCTATACATCCCTATGAAAGAGTACCCTGGTTATAATTTCATAGGGTTGATTATTGGTCCAAGAGGGAACACTCAGAAGAGGATGGAAAGAGAGACGGGGGCGAAAATTGTTATTCGGGGCAAGGGTTCAGTGAAGGAAGGGAAGCTACTACAAAAGAGGGATTTGAAGCCCGACCCTTCGGAGAATGAGGATTTGCATGTTCTAGTGGAGGCAGACACTCAAGAGTCTCTTGAAGCTGCTGCTGGTATGGTTCAGAAGCTCTTGCAGCCTGTTGACGAGGTTCTCAACGAGCACAAAAGGCAACAACTGAGGGAGCTTGCAGCGCTGAATGGTACTACTAGGGATGAAGAATTTTGTAGGTTGTGTGGGGAGCCTGGGCATCGGCAGTATGCTTGCCCTTCCCGTACATCTACATTCAAGAGTGATGTTTTGTGTAAGATTTGTGGTGATGGCGGACATCCTACGATTGATTGTCCCGTGAAGAATACTACAGGCAAGAAAATGGATGATGAATATCAGAACTTCTTGGCGGAGCTCGGAGGGACGGTTCCCGAGGGTTTGGTCAAATCTAGCTCTGCAACTCTGGCGCTACCAGGAAGTTCGGGAACGAATCCTCCATGGGCAGGTGGTACCAACACTTCTGGCAACGCTACACAAGGTGGGGCTGGGATGAATGTAGTCAAACCGAAAGAATTTGATGAGACTAATTTATACATCGGCTATTTGCCTCCCTCTATGGAGGATGATGCGCTGATTAACTTGTTCTCTGCATTTGGTGAAATAGTCATGGCCAAGGTTATCAGGGACCGAGCAACAGGCTTAAGTAAAGGTTACGGATTTGTGAAGTTTGCTGATGTTCAGCAGGCTAATGGTGCCATTGCTAGCATGAATGGTTACAAACTCGAGGGAAGATCAATTGCCGTGAGGGTAGCCGGTAAACCTCCTCAGCCTACAATGCCGCCAGTCCCTCCTGCTCCACCCATGCCGCCATATCCTGCTCCAGGCCAACCTGTGGGTGCCTACCCATCTCAGCAGTTAAATGCTGGTGGTCCGATGGGAACTGCTCCCCCTGGGGTTTCTGTTCCTTTCGCACCTCCGCCTCCTCCATTTACCTCTTATCCCCCTCCACCTCCCCCACCTGGATCTGCCATGTATCCTCCGAATCAGGGTCAACCCGTTTATCAATATGGATCATATCCTCCTTCACTAATGCCTCCAGGCACATCTGGCGCCTCGACACAGACTGTTTCTGGTACCGACACTCCACAGAGTCAAGCCTCATCAGGTGAAATACAGCAAAGTTATCCGCCTGGAGTGCAAGTACAGACTACTGTGCCTGTTCAGTCGATTCCAACATACGTGTATGGCAATGCAATGGCTTCCATGGCTCCAAATATCCAGGTTCCATATTCGTATAGCTATCCTCCTTATTACGGCGGTGTTCCACCTCCTGCAATGCGTCAATCTGCTATTGATGCTTCCCAACCCTTGGCAAATGTTCCTTGGGCCAAAAATCCACCTGTTCCACCACCTCCTGCGATGTCTCAGTCAACTATTGATGCTTCCCAAACCTTGACTAATGTTCCTTGGGCCACAAATCCACCGGTTCCTCCACCTCCATCATCTGCTGAAAAAAGCAATTATAGCACAGAAACTGAGTACGAGAAGTTCATGGCAGAAATGAAATGATATCTTTTTATGGTGAGAGGTAAGAATATGTTCTTCTAATTTTGTTCCTTTTGTTGATAAAATTTCTGTGATGTTTGTACCATAGTAGTGAATTTTTATTTTTTTATACCGAATTTTTTTTATTCATTTGTATGCATTGCATGGAAAGTATTTGTCTGGTCCAATTGGCTGGCTATGCTTTTCAATCATGCTGTAGTTCAATTGGGATTTTAGTTATTTATTTATTTATTTATTTTTATTCTTACTGAGACAGATTGAATGTGGGATAGAGAAATCGTAGAAAAGATTAGCACTGCATGAAATGACGATTGGAATTAATAATACACTTTACTAATTAGCTGGATAAATAGAAACTATGATAGGATAAGAAGACAAGAACTGTCATGATTTGAACATATTTTGTGTCGGGTTGTTATAACTCCGTTTCATGCTTAAATCTAATGGCTGAAGAAGAATAACCTTTAATTAGTTGGTTGGTGATACAGAGGCCATCAAAATGTGAAATTGTTATCATTAATTATTCAGGCATTAGATTCTTAAAGAAGTAGGCAAGTGTTGTTTTTTGCTGGAAAGCCATAGGGTGTGTTTGTTTGGGGGTTGGCTTTTGAATAATTAAATTTTAAATTAAATAGTTGTTTGACATGATCTAAATAGGTGTTATTGTCATATTTTGAAAATAAAATTGATTAGTATAAAAATAGATGATTGATTTAATGTCTTTGTAGAGAATTTTTTTTTCTTTTTCATGAATTGTATAAATCCCCTAAAAACTCCAAATTACATATGCCACAATTCACCTGTTCTGATTCTGGTGTTCTTTCTGTTTTGCATTTGAACGATGCCTCACTTCTAGATTCTGATAATCATCATTGTATTCTTGGTCACACGAATTTTCTGGAAGCTTGGCTAAAGCAATGAAATCACTCAGTATAACGCTTGAATACACTGGATAATGCTTTCATTCTACCTCATTCGAATCTTTTGTGACCCTGTGCAGATAGCAATTCACTGGCTGATTCAGTTATCTTTGCCTATCCTTCTTTAGCATTTGTTGGAGTCATGTTCTACTTAATCTCATAATCTCTGTATTATTATGATTTACTATTACGTAGTTTCTGGTGTTTATTATCCCATTATAACACGTGTTTCTTTGTTATTATCCAATATCTTGACAGGCTGTTTGTTGGAGCACTTGTCATCCTGATTTCTTAACTCTTGCCATGATTTACTTGTTGGAAGTTTGGGACTCACATAAACTTGCTGTACTATTACATTTGCAGAGAGTTTCTGTTCGACAAGCCGCAAGTTGAACTACTGTCTTCTCACAAATTATTCTGTTGATGATGTTTTGTTTTGTAGGACTGTTACTATCTGTTGGATCTGCTTTGGAGTTTCATCTTATTTTGATTTCTTTCGCTTTATATGTTTGAACTTCTAATCCATCATCGCTGATCCTAACGCTGTTGCTGTTTCTTGTGTGATCGCCTCTTTCTGATTCTAACACCCGTTTTCTGTTTTAATACTTTTTCGTTCCTTGTCATTATGATTATTCATAGCTGCTGTAGCTTCCTACACTGAGATCGGATCTGATGATTGCATCTACAACTCCAAAATGAAGTGAAGAACCACGTTGCATTGTTAGGTCACAGGTTTGGTGGTATTATTTAATCCGAGCTTCTAATTATATAAATTTATTTGTTAATCTGATGCATTATCTCAGTTTACATATGGCAAGCAGGTGGTGTAGTTGTCCCGGGATAATCTAAGATGTGTTTTGTTGAGCCTTGTGTAGAATAATTTTGCCTTTCTTTTTTAACTAAGTTTAGGTTCTAATTATTTTCTTTACTAATTTTTCCTGAATCATTAGTCGCAGGGGTCGGACGAAGAGGCCTGATAAGAATTTAGTCGAGCTCTAGAAAGTAATTTAGGGTCTAGGTTTAAGTTTCCTTAATGATGTTATGGTGTTTATTGATGTCGAAATGGAACCAAGAAAATCTTGTTTTGGTACACAACATCGGTCACACCATACCTTATGCTTTGCTTTCTTATTTATCAGATCTATGTGTGTTTATATTGGTTCATTCTAAAATATTTTGCACATTTCAAATTTATGTGAAGATCATAGAATGTGATGAAAGCTTGGTATGAATTGAAGCCATTTTTTGGGATGTTGTTTGTGTGCCGAATAAAATTATTTAAACATAATGATGAAAGTTATATGATAATAGTCGATGTAGTATATATTATCGTTGATTTTAGTATAAGATATATGTTACATTCTATAGGTTTGAATTGCCAGTTAATATGGTGTGAAATTATGTGTTGAATGATTATTTTTTGTATGCCTTGTTTTGAGTGATTTGAATTTATATATAGATAGATACCATATTTTATAAGATTGAGATAATATATTTTTTGTAAATCATGATGTTTTGTTATCTTATGAGAATTGGCAACTTCTAGTGGCTAACACATTTTATTTATTATTTTAACTTGCTAATTATTTCAACACATATAAAATACAATTCAATAGTTTTAAATCAAAATCAAATTTGCATTTGATAATATTATTCTCCTCTCATTGGTCAGTTTTATCCAAATTTACAAATAAATGAAACTAAAATTGGCGATAGAGAAAATATATTATAATAGGGGGGAATTGTTAGAATTCTATCAAGAGATGAGATAGGAATATTTTGTTACATTTTGGATAACATGAGTAAATTATACAATCAATGGGTTTGTTTATTTGGAGTCTATTTTTATAGACAATAGTAAATAAGTTGAAATCCAAATTTAAATAAGAGAGTGTAAATATTTATGATATTAATGGATGTGCTTGATTTTTATTTGAAATCAAAATCGTCACTTTTCAACTAATATGTTACCAATAAAAATATATATATATATAATATTTCTTCAAATTTCTATTTAAATCAAAGTATAAATTAAACCCTCAATTTTAAATAAAAATCAAACGAGCACAATATATACATTAACTTTCAAACTAGTAGGTATTAATAGTACAATAATTGCAAATGTGTTTATTTGTGTTTTTATTATTTATTATAGCAAATATTGCCATTAAGATTTATTTTTATTTTAGAAAATATCAAAATAAGATATAGAAAACAAAAAAAATGAACACAAATGATCTTGGTAGTGATTGAAGCACCAAGATCACACTGTGGAGTTGGTGAATGGATATTATTATTATTATTATTATTATTATTATTATTATTATTGTGTTGGATTCCTTCATCCTATATATAATGAGTTGTCCTCCATTTTCAGAATGCCCACAAACACCCTTTCTAATTATATTCATCATTGAAATTATTTGGGTAGGAAAAATAGTGTTAATAAATAAATAAAATCTTCAAGAAAATAATAAAGGGTTCCAAAGGGCATACTATGATTAAAGGTGTAGACTAATCAAGAAAAATCCAATAACCACTAAGGTCACTTAATTTTACTCACTATTCTTATTCTATGAATTATTGATTTTTTTATATAAAAATTTGCATCAAATATGTATTTATATCATTATATATATATATAATTTAAAATCATAGTAGGCTAATTAATTTTGTAATTTTTATTCAATTTTAAAATCTTATAAAAAAATATAATTTTATATATAATTTTAATATTAACAAACCCACTGATATTATAATATTAATATTGTTTATTAGTCATTTATATTGGACTAAACACTAATTAAGTACAAGACTTACTTTAGACGTACTATAGTTTTATTTTATTTTTTTAAAAAAAATATTAATAAATGGAGATTTTTGCCTAAATACTAAAAATAGAATTTCCCATTGTTATTGTTTAATTATCAATTTTATATTTCAATGGTCACACTTAATTATAGGGCTACATGAAAAAATAATAATAATAATAATAAAAATAAAAATTATAGAGTGTAATGATCTAAGTAGGTTAAGAAGTCATGATCCCTCACATGGTGTTTTCAATTACCCTTCAAACACATCCATTATAATGTCGTCCACCTTCTACTACATATATATCTCAATGCTTACCATTTTATTAGAGATTAATTATGCATCACAATAGTACGATTTTTATCGATTCAATACTTTAGACGAGTTAAATTATTCAATTTTAATCTGATTCATAATATTATTATTTTTATTTTAACCGTATTAATTAAATTGTTACTATTTTATTATACTCCAATAGTATACTAAATTGAAAAAATAATAACACATTGGTTATTATTTATTAATATATAATTAATATAATTATTTACTTATTAATGAATTATATATAAATTTAGGGAAAGGAAAAAAAACTATAAAATAAGTATTCCAAATAGAAAGAAATATATAACTAACATGTTCTAATGATATATGCAACATATTTACTACAACAACTATAGGGTGTGTTTGTTTTGCGTTTTGATATTTTTATATTTCCTCCGTTCCAATAAATTAGTCTTGTTTACCATTTTTTTCCGTCTCAAAACAATAGTATCATTTCCATAAATAATCATATCACTATAAAACTACTCTTACTTTTTCATTATTATTACACAATTGCCACTATTTTTTACACTAATACACTAACAATGGCAAAAAAGTTTTTTACCCGTATTTTTTACCCACTATCAATATAATATCAATATTTTTTAAATCTCGTGTCAAACACAACCCATACTATAGTTCTGGGACGGAGGGAGTATGATATTTTAAAAAAAAAAATTAATATACTTCCTCCGTTCCATTGAAAAATGTTGTCATTTTTCATTTTTGTCCGTCCAAAAACAAGGTTACCATTTCTTAATTTAGTAATTGTACTACCTACTTAACATAATAAATACCCTTCAAACTTACACTATATTACACAAATGTCGTTATTTTTATATTACACTATACTAATAGGGGTATTTTTGTTCTTTTCACTACAATACATTATAATACTAATATTAAAAAATTTACGTTCAAAAAGTAAACGACAACTTTACACTGGGAGGGAGGGAGTATTTTAAATTTTACTAATAATACTAAAAATATTTTATTTGAAAATAACAAAACAACCGCGAATTTTTTCATTTTAGATTATGTTTGTTTGGGAGTTTGGATTTTGAGTTAAGATTTGAATAATTGTATGATGTGATATTCTGAATATAAAATTAATTTTTAGTATAATATAAAAAATAAAAAAATAAATATTTGATTTAATATTTTTTGAATGAAAAAATGGGATGAATAGATTTGGGGGAGAATCCCAAACAAACACACAATTATGTAGTGTCTAAGTTGGTGGTGGTGCATTTTCACGCGCGCATGAGGTTGGGTCCACCTTAGGTCACGCCTGTCACGCGATCAAATGTGGCGGGGCACGTGACAAAAGTAACGGCGTTATATCCATAAACCACAGTGGGCCCACGTTCCGTTTACTTCTTCCCGTTCTTTATATGCAGATGATGTTCTTTATATAAATTAACTGTATAAGTAATGTCATATCTGTAATTTATTTAAAATTTAAATAATATTATGATATGCGTTCGATTTATTTTAATTTAATAAAAAATAGATAATTTTGAATATGATATATAAAAATGATACTTTGAGGTAAAGTGGAGAGTATTTTTTCATAGTAGATTAAAAACTAATACTTTATTCGTCCTTTTAATCATCTATCTATTTTTTTATTTTGGTATGTCTCATCATAAAGTATTTATTTATTTTTTTTATAGTAATTATACTATTTACCAAATATTACAAATACCTTTACAATTTACAATATATTAAACAAATGATATTTTTATATCATACAATAGTAATAAAGTTAGTTTAGTCTTTTTACCTTTATATATGAAATATTTATTTATTTATTATATGATAGGATAAAATATTTTATTAGAATATTAATTAATAGTTATTTATAATAGGCTTAAATTATATTTTAATTCAAAATTTTCTATTACTTTCAAATTTAAAACAATTTAAAATGCTCTAAATGTAATCCAAATACAATTTATTTTATATTTAGAATATAATAATAATAATAATAATAATAATAATAATAATAATATTTTTTTTAAAATGGATTAATTATTTGTTTTCAAAATCAAATTGATTCTAGTTTAAGCAATAATCAAGTGGTAATGATGCCCAAAATTACCCACCACCTAAATTCAATCTATTTTGCCAACTAACTAATAATGATTTTTTTTCAATTATATTTTATGTAAAACATTATGTCGTATTTAATAAAAGGTTTGGAATTTAAAAATAAATATTTAATATAATATTCTTTAAAAATATTATTAATAAATATAGATTGTTTATTTTATATTTTAAGTTGATGTATTCTTAAATATGAATATAAAAATTATATCAATAATATTAAAAAATTTCACATTTAATTTTTAAATTATTGTACTTAAATATTATTATATATATATAATTTTTTGTACAAATATTCTTCTATTAGTATTATAAGACATTAATTAAAATATTTTTATAATATTTTTAATTTATACTATGTTTTAATATAATAATTAATATTTAAATATCAAAACAAATTAATATATCGAAAAACACATCAATTAAAATATTATTGTTTAAACAAAGGCAATAAAACAAAATTCTAAACATAAGTTTAAATTTTATTTATTTAAAATTTAAAAATAACCACACAAAGGGACAATCACAATGATTGCCTCTCACTCTCAATCAAACCACTTTAACATAACATTCACTATATATATATATATAAATATAAATAAATAAATTATTACCAAAGTAAATGCTTCTTCCTTTCCCTTCCATTACATTATTCTTTCCCACAAAGGTCAACTTTGGCTTTGTTTGGACAATAATTTTGAAGTTCAGATACTATTTCAATTTTTTTAAAAAATTCATATTAATTTTTTTTTTTCTATAACAAACATCACATTATTTTTTTTAATTATTTATTTAATTTTTTTTTTTTCCATAACTCCAACACTTGAAAAAATCTCTTGTTAAGCCACTTTAATTTATTTATAGTGCAGAAGTGACAGTAACTGAATGAATGATATGTGGAAGAAGAAATTGTGGAAAGGCCCCTTTCTTGGATCCTCCAACAACACATCATCATAAAAAATATAATAATGATAATAAATAATAATAAAATAAATATTGTAATGAAAGCAAAGAACAAAAATTGCAAAAAAGAAAAGGTAAAAAATGGAAGAGTGAAATAAAATGAAACAAGAAATGATGAGGAAAACAAAGGCATGTAAGAAATGGAAAAAGTAAAGCTAAAAAGTGCAAATGGAAGCATTTGAACAAAGTGGACTCAGAGTGAAAATCAATACATATATACATATCCTCATCATCATTATATTTCCCACTCCCGGGACCCCAACTCCACCCACTCCTTACGCACCATTATTCATATATTATAATATAATATAATTAGCATATGTTATGAGTTTGTTTAATACTAGTGTCAATTTACACTTTAGTCCGAGCGGGGGAGGTCCCGGTGTAGGAAGTCCAAATTGACAAGGTAGAAATGAAATAATGATGTGCAAGAAAACACAAACCCCTTTTTTTCCCCAATGCACTCCTAAAAAGCACAAACAAAATTCACATTTATTTCAAACCACACCCACTCTTAATAATTATTTATTTAGTTTTATTATTTTTTTCCACTCTTTTTAATTTAATTCAATTCGATGAACCATTTCTCCATTCTCCATCTCACAAACAAGCATGACCTCTTCCCCCCTTCTCCACACACTTTCAATTTTCATCACAATTTCCATCGCCGTCGCCGCCGCAGAGTCGCCGGAGATTCTTTCCCTGCTGTCAATCAAGTCATCCCTGACAGATCCTCTCGGCACATTCGACGACTGGGTCCTAACCAACTCCTCCTCCTCGTACTCCTCGACCCCTATCTGGTGCACCTGGACCGGCATTAAATGCAGCCGCCGAACCGGCCACGTCACCGCCCTCGACCTCTCCGGTCGGAATCTCTCCGGGAATATTCCTCCCGACATCAACGCCTTATCCCATCTACATTACCTCAACCTCAGCCGGAACTCCTTCGCCGGCGAATTCCCAGCCGCCATTCTCCGCCGCCTCCCCAACCTTAAAATCCTCGACATTAACCACAACTCCTACAGTTCACTCCCAACCTTCCCGCCGGCGGCGCTCAAATCCCTCAATTTCTTCAACGCCTACAGCAATTCCTTCGCCGGAGCCCTGCCGGAAAGCTTTGTCCCCCTGAAAAATCTGGAATATCTCAACCTCGGCGGCAGCTACTTTTCCGGCGAGATTCCGGCGAGCTACGGAAGCTTCTCGAAGCTCAGGCATCTCTACCTGCATGGAAATTCGCTGACAGGCCCGATCCCGGCGGAATTGGGAAATTTGAAGGAATTAGAGCATTTCGAACTAGGCTACAATTCGTACTCAGGTGGGGTGCCTCTCGAATTCTCGGACCTGTCGAAATTAGAATATCTCGACATCTCATCGTCGAACCTGTCGGGAAATCTTCCGACCGGGCTGGCCCGATTGGGCCGTCTCCAAGAATTACTGCTCTTCAAGAATCACCTGTCAGGCCCGATTCCTGAAAATTGGGCCGAGATGAAATCCCTCCAGGTTCTTGATTTGTCCGACAATAACCTGTCGGGCCGAATCCCGACGGGATTCTCGGGCCTGGAAAGTCTCAGAATGGTGTCGTTGTTGAACAACAACCTGTCGGGGGAGATTCCAGGGGGGTTTGGTGACCTTCCGAATCTTGAAGTTCTCTATCTATGGAACAATTCCCTGTCAGGGATTTTGCCTAAAAGGCTCGGGTCGAATTCCAGGTTGCAATCCCTGGATGTGTCTTCGAATTCCCTGACAGGCCCGATTCCAAGGAATCTTTGTCTCGGCGACAGCCTGGTGAAGCTCGTGCTGTTTTCGAACAGATTTTTCGGGGAGATCCCCCTGACGCTGGCGAATTGTACGAGGTTGTCGCGGCTGCGGATTCACGACAACCGGCTTAATGGGTCGATACCGTATGGATTTGGGTCGTTGCCTAATCTCACTTTCGTCGATGTAAGCGGGAATGGTTTGTCGGGCCTGATTCCCGACGACCTCGCCAATGCTCGCCAATTGGGGTTCTTGAATATATCGGGGAACTCGTTCGAGTCTCCGCTCCCTGGGGGGATTTGGAAGGCGCCGTGTTTGAAGATTTTGCTGGCGAGTTCTTCGGGGCTCACCGGGAAAATCCCGCGGTTCGAAGGATGCACGAGCTTTTACCGGATTGAGCTCGACGGAAACGATCTCGACGGTAGCATCCCAGGGGACATTAGCCAATGTACGAAGCTCATCAGCCTGAATTTGAGTCGGAATTCGTTGTCCGGGATCATACCGTGGGAGATTGCGAGCCTGCCTTCAATCACGAATCTCGACTTGTCGCGCAATCACCTGACGGGCGCGATTCCATCGGGCTTGGGCAGCGTAAGGACGCTGGAGAATCTCGACGTTTCGTACAATCGGCTGACGGGGCCTTTGCCGTCGTCAGGGGTGCTGTTTTCGAGTCTCCACCCGTCTGCATTCGCCGGGAACGAAGGCCTCTGCGGCAAGATTCTCGATAAGCCTTGCCAGGAAGATGCGCCGGCTACAGACATGGTGGCGAAGGACGAGCGCCGGCAGCCTAAGAAGACTGCCGGTGCAATCGTCTGGATAATGGCTGTGGCCTTCGGCATCGGCGTGTTCATTCTCGTCGCAGGAAGCCATTGCCGCGGCAGATACAGCGGCAATCTCCTCTGCGACCATGGCGACGTCGGCCCCTGGAAGCTCACCGCGTTCCAGAGGCTAAACTTCACGGCGGACGACGTCCTCGAGTGCCTCAACATGTCCGAGAACGTAATCGGGATGGGCTCGACCGGCGCCGTCTACAAAGCAAAGATGCCGAGCGGCGACATCATCGCCGTCAAGAAGCTGTGGGGCAAGAACAAGGACACAATCCGTCGTAGACGGGGAGTGTTGGCCGAGGTCGACGTGTTAGGGACCGTCCGGCATCGGAACATTGTCCGGCTGCTGGGGTGCTGCAGCAATGCCGAATGTACGATGCTGCTCTACGAGTACATGGCCAACGGGAGCCTCGACGACTTGCTACACGGCAAGAACAAATGGGACAACCTCGTCGCGGACTGGTCGACGAGGTACAAGATCGCGTTAGGCGTGGCGCAGGGCGTGTGCTACCTCCACCATGACTGCGACCCGGTGATCGTGCACCGCGACCTCAAGCCGAGCAACATCCTCCTCGACGAGAAAATGGAGGCGCGCCTCGCGGATTTCGGAGTCGCGAAGCTGATCCACGGCCGGGAGTCGATGTCCGTGATCGCCGGATCGTACGGGTACATCGCGCCCGAGTACGCTTACACGTTACAAGTGGACGAGAGGAGCGACGTGTACAGCTATGGCGTGGTGCTGATGGAGATACTCACCGGGAAAAGATCGGTCGACTCCGAATTCGGAGACGGCAACTGTATAGTAGATTGGGTGAAAGCTAAGATCAAGATCAAGAATGGAGTCGATGAAGTTTTGGACAAAAATGCAGGTGCAGGCTGTGCTTCTGTGAAGGAGGAGATGCTGCTGCTCCTCAGAATTGCACTGCTCTGCACCTGCCGGAATCCGGCGGACCGGCCGTCGATGAGGGACGTCGTGTCGATGCTGCAGGAGGTCAAGCCAGGCGGCAAGCTGCCTCCCGCCGCCGGCGAATTTGTGGCTGTGGATATTCCGGCGACACAAAAACCAGAGTATTAATTTGCCAGTGTGATTTATGTTCGTCATCAACATTTTCCTATTTTGAATTTGGGGATTGGATTGATTTAAATTCTTCCATAGATTTTACTAGCAAAGATCGAAATTCATACAATAAGGTTTAGAATTAAATTAAGCAGAGAGATCCTAACGAAGAAGAACAGTGGCTAACCTGGTTTGATTGTTCAGACTTCATCGCCGTCGGAAATGTCGGGCCGGCGGTCGGGGAGTTGAGCCGGGAAGACAAGGTAGTCGTAGGTGATGGCGGCTAGGGCGGCGCCGACGAGAGGACCGGCCCAATACGCGCCGTGATCTCTGAAATTTCCTCTGACTAACGCGGCGCCGAATGAGTAAGCCGGATTCATTGAGCCGCCGGTGAATGGCCCCGACGCCAGCGCATTGGCGCCGTAGATGAATCCTACGGATAACGATCCGACGGCTATGCTTCGTCCCTTCCTCGGGTCTGCAGACGCGAATGACGTGTAGACTAGTCCGTACGTCGTCACGGCTTCGAGCATGGCGGCGCCGAAGCCGGTCATTTCGTAGGGGAAGGAATGGATCGGCACGGCCTGTGAGAAGATTTCATTAATGGAGGATGAATTGGAAGTCGAAAATGAATTGGATTGTGATTTATGGTTACCGAAGAGACTGTGGTGATTTTGAGGAGAAGACAAGCTAGGGCAGAGGCGGACATTTGTGAGATTCCGTACAGAATAGCCATCGGAACAGTGATGTGTCCTCCGATCGCCATTCCGAACGTCACGGCGGGGTTGACGTGGCCGCCGGAGATGTTGGCGGAGATGTAAACCGCGGCGGAGAGTGCGAAGGCTTTTGCCGTTGCAGTAACCGCCAAACTCGCCGGATCGGAGGCGGATTCCGGCGACATCTTATCTGCAATTTGTGGCAGAAATTAATCAATTATCGCCATTATCGACCACAGATCAACAATTCTAAACCAAAATTTCACCATTATCGACCACAAATCCAAAATTCTAAACCAAATTTCACCATTATCGACAGCGAATGAACAATTCTAAACCAGAAATTTCACAATTATCGACCAGAATTCCACAGTTCTATTGTAGCAGAAATTATCACAATGATCGACGCAAATCTACGATTGTAAAGCAGAGATTTGAAATTAAAGCGTACGAGAAGCCATGGTTGAGCCGACGGAAGCGAAGACGAAGAGGAAAGTGGAGATGAACTCCGCCGCGTACGATCGGAGAGCGATGGGAGTGTACGAGTGCTCCACGAATGATTTCAGCGACGCCATTGATCCTGGAACTTGAATCACAATCCGATACATGCCAAATTACGCGAAGATAATCGGAGATTGAGCAGCAATGGATCGATTGAGCAGTTATAGAGCAGGTTGGAGTGGAGAATGTGACGGTTTTTTAATGGCGGGATTGAGAATTCAAAATTCAACCGCCAAATCGTTATCTGCTATTCACCACTCCACTCTCCGATTCTTCCAACTGCACCGTCACCTACGCTAGTTCCGCCCTGCCGGTCCATTCTCAGAATACGCCGATCTCGGTGGCCGGTCGGCCGGCAATCCGCCGGCGACGACGACTGTTGGTAGATATTTGCTTGCTATTTCTTACTAGTTTTTCATCTTCTAATCTTGTGTTAAAAAAACATATGGATAATTTTTATTATAAAAGAAATAAGAACATTTTAAAACTCTTTCCAATATGAGATCTACTTATAATTTTTATTTTTTAAAAAATATATTTATATATTCAATATTTTGTTATAAAATTAAATTAAATTAGATTGAGTTTGAATTTTGGTTTTGAATAATAAAATTTTGAATTGAAATAGTTATACGATGTAATATATAAATTTTTGGTGTAATATAATAAATAAATAATAGATATTTGATTTAATATTTTTTTGGAAGAAAAAAAAAATTAGAATAGTAAAATCGTAATAAAAACTCACAAGTAAATATACTCTTTTTGTGCTTTTAATATTTTTTCATATTTTAAATAAAATAAATTTTTAATTTGATATTTTATTATATCTTTGTCCAATTTGAAAATAATTATTAACTTTTGATACGAATTTTAAAAAATAACTATATTTTAATTATAGTGAGTATTTAAAAATAGTATAAAAATAATTTTGTCTTCACTCTTTGTTGTAAAAATAATGACTTGATTGTTAAGTATGTGTATTTGTAAAATAAAATAAAATACTTTTAAAAATATTACTTTATAATTGGATAATTCAAAATTAAAAAATATATTTTATTATAGTGAAGGAAAGAGACATAGAAGAATATTTTTTGAAATACTTACACTGAATAAAAATCCCAAAACACCAAAATTCAACCAAACACACCTTAGAAATCTGGGAAGGATTATGCATTGGATTTATGCTTCCAAGAAAATAATAAAAAAAGATATTTCTAACTACCATAATTTTAAAAATAAATATGCATGATTTTCGCCCATAATCTCCCCAATAATAAAACAACAGGTGCCTCAAAAGTCACGTGGGAACTTGTTTTTTATATTCAAAATATACTCATGGATTACAACCAATCACGTGCCAGGTGCTTTTAGACCTCCACGACAGCATTTCACAACCTCGTATATATATATAAAACCTTAAAACCCCCACTCCGCCTTAACTCCTTCACACAATCAAAATGGCCGCCGCCGCCGCCGCTGTTTCCCACGCGCCGCCTCGAGATTTGGAAGCTTCCGCCGCCTACTCTCCAATCCCCGGCGGCCCAGCTTCCTCCTCTCCGACTCCAATCAGGAAGCGCCACGTCAGCATTTTGGTTTCTTTTCTTTGCATCTTCGGTTCATTGCTCCTATTGATCTCCGGCCGTTGGTTCGTTCCTCACGTGGCCAGATTAGATCTCAACCGTCCATCTCATGATCATGATGCTACTGTGTCTCCAGCACGGCCGCTGACCGGTCAAATCTCGAGAGGGCCGTCGCAAGGCGTGTCGGAAAAAGTCTTCCGGCAACGCCGCGGCGGCGCGTCGCCGTTCTCCTGGAGCAACGTTATGCTGACGTGGCAACGGACGGCGTACCATTTTCAGCCGGAAAAAAATTGGATGAACGGTACCGTTATGTATATATATTTTTTAATTTTTATTCTTCGATAATATTATCATTATTAAGCATATTTAATTTAATTTGATTTTAAATTTTAATAAATTAATTATTATTCTTTTTTTATTTATTTTGGAAATAATGATGGTGTGATTTTGAATCTCCGGCCGGCGGCGGGCTCTGCAACAGATCCTAATGGTAAGTATTTTCTTTAACAAAAAATCTCTTACATGTTTATTTAATGCAAGATAAATTTCTTTCCTTGTATGGTTTCCTTTATTATTATTATTATTATTATTATTATTTGTTTTTATCTCATTTATTTAAAAATATAATATATATATTCAATATATATCTAATTGTTATTTTCATTTAAAAATATCTAAATTAAAGCAAAATACAAATAAAGAAAGTTTTGCTCTTTTTTTAGCTTTTTTATTTTTAACAATTTAATCTTTCAATTTCCATAAAAAATTATTAATCCAACATCTTTTATACTTGGACAATATCAAGATCTAAAATAATAATAATAACATTTTTTATATTTTTTAATGTTATATATGTATATTATATCCTCCCTCCGTCCTATTGGAAGGGTGACATTTGTTTGTTGCATATAGATTTTTGAATATTAGTATTATATTGAATTGTAGTAAAAAAAGACAAAAATACCCCTATTAGTATGATATAATATAAAAGTAATGGTATTTGTGTAATATAATGTAAATTGAAATGATATTTATTATGTTAGGTAGATAATACAATTATTAAATTAGAAAATTGTAACATTGTTTTGAGACAAACGAAAATAGAAAATGATAATCTTTCAATGGGACGGGTGGAGTATTTTATTTTTAAAAATTGTATAAAAATAAAGACTAAGGGTGCACACAGTTAAAAAAAAATAAAAATTGTTGTTAGTCATTGAATTTTAGAATTTTAAAAAGTAAGACATAAATTGAAATATACTTTTAATGTACTTAAATGTATTTTTTATAGTACAATATTTTGAATAAAATCATTAATATATTATTTCAAATAAAATTAAAAGGTAAGTACCTCTTATTTATTTGTCCCTTTATACTTTTCTCTTATAAAATAGTACTAATAATTAGTTTTGGATTGCATAAAAAAAAATGTTAAATTCTCGTGTTATGTGTATTTCATTAATTTTTATATATGACTTATAATATAAAAATTAATTATATAATATGGATACTAATTAATCAAGTAAACATTTTGTAATGTATTCCATTATCATTTTAGTTAAATGTTTTTGGTATGGTAATATTAAGGTGTGTTTCCTTGGTATATTTTTTTTATTTAGTTTTGATTTTTTATTTATTGGTTTATTCGAATGTAATATTTTATAGGAAAAAATAATATATTTTTATAAATAAATTATAAAAGCTCGGTCGATAAAGTTTAATAAGGCATCTTAATTTGTTATAATTATAAATTAAAATAAAAAATACTCAAATGCCTAACTCAACAGGATTTGGTATAATTCAATAATTTTTTTTTTTTTTAATTTAATTCATGACTTAAGAAAATTAGAATTTCAATTCAATAAAATTGAAATTGAGCAAAACAAATAAAAATAACTAAATAATACTCCATATATTTATTTAAATTCGAATGAGAACACCATAGCACCAACTTAGATAAGATTTGTAAGAATTATTGTATTTTGTATGATTAATTTATCTAAAAAATTGTAACCCAAACACCTGTAAAGCCTGTGGTCATTCTTATTAAAATCAAATAATTAGATTATTCCTATCCTAGGATTATTATTAATCAATAATTGAAGACACGTTAGCATCTGCTAATAATGAGTAATAAATAATTAAGCATGTGTTTCGATGTTGATAGTGCTGCACCATTTAAGAATGTTTTCAAAATAATATATTTTATGTATAATTTAATTGTATCGGTAATAATATATTTGTAATTTATGTAAAAATTAAAGTTACATTATTTTTTTTATAGTAATAAAAAATAAATATTTTTGAATTGTAAATACAAAATTATTAAAAAAATACTTTCAGTTGGATGGGAGAAATAATATTCGAATAATAGTATTTGGATATTATTTTTATTTATAAAGATTTTTTACCATTCTACTCTAACTTAAAATAATATATATATTTGCAAATATAATTTCTTTAAAAGAGAAATTAAATATATATTTCAATTATGATATTTTTCTATGAATAATATATAAATTTAAAAATATAAATCAATATAATATAATTAATTTATTGATTATTGCAGGTCCATTGTACCACAAAGGATGGTATCATTTCTTCTATCAGTATAGTCCGAAATCCGCCGTGTGGGGCAACATCACGTGGGGCCACGCTGTGTCACGTGATTTGATCCACTGGTTCCACCTCCCGTCCGCCATGGTCCCGGACCAATGGTACGATGCCAACGGAGTATGGACCGGGTCCGCCACCGTCCTTCCCGACGGCCGGATTGTGATGCTCTACACCGGCGACACGAACGACGTCGTTCAGGTGCAATGCTTGGCCCACCCGGCCAACTTATCCGACCCGCTTCTTCTAAAATGGGTCAAGCATTCGGGCAACCCGGTGATGGTTCCCCCGGTCGGAATCCGGAGCAAGGACTTTCGGGATCCGACCACCGCGTGGCTTAGTCCTAGTGGAGACACGTGGCGAGTTTCTATTGGCTCCAAGATTGGGAACAAAACTGGCGTTGCGCTTGTCTATGAGACAGTTGATTTTTTACGCTATGAATTGTTGGATGGGTACATGCATCGGGTTGCGGGTACGGGTATGTGGGAGTGCGTTGATTTTTACCCGGTATCGTTGACTACGGAAAATGGGTTGGATACTTCTGAAAACGGGTCGGGTGTAAAGCACGTGATGAAAGTGAGCCTAGATGATGACAAGAATGATTACTATTCGGTGGGAAGTTATGACCCGGATGGGAACAAGTGGGTGCCCGATGACCCGAATTTGGATGTGGGTATTGGGCTGAGATATGATTATGGTAAATTTTATGCATCGAAAACATTCTACGACCCGAAACGACGTCGTAGGATTTTGTTCGGTTGGATTATGGAAACTGATGCTGAAGAACTTGATATCCTTAAAGGATGGGCTTCTGTCCAGGTACGTTTGTTTTAGGTATTTTTTTATTTATTTTTGGAAAAGTAATAGCAAAAGATTTGAAATTAAGGGAGTATACAATATTTCATGAATTTATATTATAAAAAACACACAACTATATATATATATATATATAACTTGATCGTATTATTTGAGTTCGGTTCAATTTGATTTGTGCTTCGTTTAGTCTATACCTAGGACAATAGTGTTCGATCAAAAGACGAGGAAAAACATTCTACAATGGCCCGTGGAGGAAGTCGAGAGTTTAAGGTTAGACGGAAAAGAGTATAATTTGAAGCTTGAACCCGGAACAATAGTCCCTCTTGGTGTCAACTTAGGATCTCAGGTTCATGTCGATATCCTAAGTAATTATGAAATAAAAATATATCGTAATATTTATTTTCACATTAATATTATTATCTACAGTTGGATATAACCGCAACTTTCGAAGTTCATGTAAAGGCAATATCATCGGGCATCGATCAACTCCCTTATGATTGTGCCACAAGCGGCGGTGCATCTAATCGGGGAGTTTTGGGACCATTTGGTGTCGTCGTGCTTGCTGATAATGAATTATCGGAATTGACTCCGATTTATTTTTACATCGCTAGAGGATATAACAGGACACATGAAACTCATACTTGCGCTGACGGATTAAGGTGAGTTTCTTACACAAGCGATTTTTGGTTCCATACATTGTAGCATCGATTTTTCGTCTTGTCTTCACGTGTTTGCGCTCATTTAAAATGAAAGGTCATCAAAGGCGCCCGATGTTGAGAAAGTTGTTTATGGTAGCAAAGTCCCCGTGCTCGATGGCGAAAAGCTAACACTTAGATCTTTGGTACGTATATCTTTCAAATATAGTACACCCACTATCATTGATAGGATAGAATTATACTCTTCCGTCGTTCAAATTTATGTTTCTTTTTTTTTGCAAAATAACATAAAAATTTTCTGTGATTTTCGGAATTCGCTGAAAATATTTTATAATTCTAAAATTCCCAAAAAGTCAACCGATAATTTATAAAATGTTCCAAAAGATCTCTTCCATTAAGACTTAACAACGAATATATATCACCCGCCAGAAATACAACTTTTGATTAATTAACTGATATATTTGTGCGAAATTACAAAATATACCCTAGGCTGTATTAAATGTACCCTTTTCTCTTCCTCCACTTTATTTCATCGTACTATTTTGAAACTAATAGAATATTATATAATCTCATCGAATCCTTGATAGTAAAAATTTATATATATAATATATGAATTGTGAATTTTAATAAAATTGATGATTGATGTATTCAGGTGGATCACTCGATTATCGAGAGCTTTGCGCAAGGAGGGAGAACAGTGATAACTTCAAGAGTATACCCGACAAGGGCGATCGATGGTGCGGCAAGTGTATTCTTATTCAATAATGCTACGGATGCAATGGTCACGGCGTCCATCAAGATATGGAAAATGGGCTCGGCTGATCTTCGACCTTTCCCAATGGATCAACTCTAATGTTCCGTCGCTTGTTGTTTAGAATGGAATTAAATTTGAAATTAGTAAGTTATATATATATATATAATGTATGTTTTGTATTTGTACTCGGTATGTTTACTTTATATGATACTCCCTCCGTTCCTTAACGATCTATTTATTTTTTCATTTTGGTCCGTCCGATATCAAAGTATTCATTTCTTTTTTTTTTTTTTCTTAGTAATTGTACTATCTACCTAACATTATAAATATCCTTTCAATTTACAATATATTACACAAATGTCATTATCTTTATATCATACAATACTAACAAGGTTAATTTAGTCTTTTTATATTTATTTCTACTTTATCCCGAGATGGAGAGACTATAATTATTATTTATAAAATTATTCTTATGAATTACATAATCACAAGATAATATTTGCATTAATGGAATATTGGGGATATAATTATTATTTATGCTTGATATAATTTTTTATTTATATTGTTAAAATAAATTTGCACTAACTCAAAAATTGCATTATATTAAACATTAAAATAAGATGTTTATTTAAAAACAATATAATGTAAAATATACTAAAATAAAAAATACTGTAATATATGTAAGACAGAGTAAGATTCATTAGTTAACATAAAAATAGTAAATATATTTATATTTAATGAAAATTGAGAATATAATTATCTAATCTATATAGATTTTATTCTTGTAAAGTATTTTTTCTTAGCTTTTATTTATTTATTTATACAAAATATCAAGTCATGTTTCTTTTTTCACCTCATACAATATTAAAAACAAAAACATAAATTAAAATAAAATAAAAACACTTGAGAACATGCATAAAGCATCTAAAATTATTGTTCTTATTATTATTCTTATATATTTCTTTATATTATGATTCAGTTTAATTAATCACATAATTAATTATATCAGTTGCTAAAAAATAAAAAATAAATAAAAAAATAAATTATGGTGTAAGAGGAAAAAAAATCATATATATATATATATATAGTCAGTGTATAAAGCATTAATTTCGATACCATTTTTACACATAAGATAATATTGACTAGCATTTGTAACAAACTTAATGCTTGTTTTAATGAAATTTTATATAATAATCACTTTCTAAATTTAAATTAAAAGAAAAAAAAATTAAATTATTTCCGCTACAATATATCATTTATATAAAATTGATTTTTTTTATTGTCTTAAAATTTAAGATTTTACTTAGTAACAACTCGTTGAATATGTTCTACATAAAAATTAAAAAAAAAAAAGAAAAATGTAACATTTTTGGTTTAAAAGAGTGAAAGGTCTTTACACCTAATATCAATTAATTTTAATTTTAAATTAAAAGTTCAAATCCCTTCTTAATATGGTAATTTTTAGTACTATATCCTTTTGGTTAATAGATATACATTTATTTTCTTATCAAAAAAAAATAATATTTAAATAGTATATTTGATATTGGTGTGAGATTAAAAAATAATACTATCTCTATTCCACAATAAATTTTTTTTTGCACGTAAATTTCTTAATATTAATATATTGTTTTGTTAGTATAAAAATGACAAAAATGACCATATTAATATAATTTGATATAAAAGTAATGGTATTTGTGCAATATATTGTAAATTGTAAGAATATTTATTACGTTAAGTAAGTAATATAATTACTAAATTAAAAAATTGTTCATTAGATGGATAAAAAATAAAAAATAGTATATTTCTTCTGGGACGAAAAGAATAATATTTATTCCGTCTCATTTCAATTCACACGTTGACTAGTGACATGCATTTAAGATAATGAAATTTATTGAGTAAATGATAATGAATTATTATATTATTTTTTATGTGTGTGATATTGGTATTTTTAAAATTAAAACTAGCATAAATAATTAAAATATATTTTAAATATTATTTTGTATAGAATAAAATTTTATATAATAGCAGTCTAATAAAAATTATATTTATTTATGATTCATATATATTAATATAATAAAAAATATAAATATAAATAAAAATATTTATTTGTTAAAAATAATATAAAAATATAATGGTTTTGACTTTTGAATATATTATAAAATTAATTAAATTAATTTAAATTTTTAATAAATACAATTTACTAAAAATAAAATATGTCAATTAAAGTGACAAACTAAAAAGCAAATTATGAAAATTGATTTGGAACAAAGATAATATTTGCCCCTATTTTTTAGGATAATTTTTCTGCTTTTGTTATTTAATTTGATGTAATTATATTAATACAAATAAATACTCTCTCCGTCCGGCTAGAAAATATACATGTTGATGTAATTTTTCAACAAAAATAAAGTAAAATTCAAAGATATAGAAAATATCCTTAAACTTGATTAATTAGTGCCTGAGATTAGGAATCTCTAAACACTGTAGTACAGAAAATAAACTGGAAAATAAAAGACTGAAATTTAAAGTGGTGATCCCCAAATCTGACTTTGCTTTGTTGAAGTTGATTGAAGATCCCTTTTCTGACGGATTTGAATCCTTAAATAGCCTTTGAAGAAAACGGTTTGAACCACCGTCTGGTCGGTTACAGCAACCGCTGTCAACCGACCATCAAATTCTCCTCAATTGACACGTGTTACAACTTCCTTCAACCGTTCCCATCAGTCACAGAACTCAGACCTGCCTCTTACCCGACCTGCCTGTCCACTGCCAAATTTCTTTTGGCCGACTTCGTCCTTCGCCCGACCTGCTTCTTCGCCCGACCTCACTTGGCCGACCTCCGCATCAGCCGCCCTCCGTCTTTGACACTTGGCCGACCTCCGCATCAGCCGCCCTCCGTCTTTGACCGAAGACCTCCGCGTCTGTCCGTACATCTTCCTTGCCCGACCTTCCTCTTGACAGACCTCCGCGTCTGCCCGACTTCGCCTTTCACCCGACCTACGGTTTACCCGACTTGGGTACACCCCTTTTTTTTTAGACTCCGCCCGACCTTTCTTCCTTTTCCCGACTTTTATTCTGCCCGACCTCCAGACCTTTTGGCTTTCATTCAGACCCTACCCAGAATCCTACTGCCACTTACTATTATTATTATTTTTTTGTGCTTAACAATAAGCCTCCTCCTCAAGACTCCTAAACATCAGGAGTTTGCAGGCCGGCATCCGAGGCTACGTCAGCCTCAGATCCGACCTCCATCCTTCGAGGCTACGTTGGACCCGACCTCCATTTATCGCGGAATGGTGCTGGCCTGGACGTTGGTCGATCTTGCACTAACATTGCTTCAGCATCTCCCCCCTGACGAAAGTCATGGTTATTTTCTGTAAAAAAGGATTCTAACCTTCTTGCCGTGGATGCTAAACTGGCCAGATCTTGAAAGTCGTGGGCTGTCAGGGCCTCGCGAAGTCCGGTATGCATGTTCCTGACCACCAAATTGGTCAGTTCGCTTTCATTGATCATCGTAGGACATCGTCCCTTCATCAATCGCATCCTCTCTATGAATTGGTAGCTGGTCTCTTCCGGCATCTGCGTGATCTCCAGAAGGTCTATCAGTGAGACTGTCAGCAGAGGATTAAAGAACCTTGCATGAAAATCTGCCTCTAAATCTTCCCAAGTTTGCAACTGTCCAGGCGGCAGACTGACATACCAAGAAAAAGCTGTTCTTGTGAGCGACAACCCAAACAATTGTAACTTGTGAAACGGATTGTTGCCTACTTCTCCCAATTGAGCCGTGAAGCGACCCACATGCTCAATGGTAGAGGCTCCGTCTTCTCCCGAAAAAGAATAGAAGTCTGGTGGCCTATAATTTCTCGGGAGAGGATGATCGTTAATGATCCTTTCTGGAAATGGCCTCTGATAAACCGGCCTGTTCACCGTTTGCGGATTCATTCCGAAATGCACCCGCAGAACTTGAGCAATATCCTCCGGATCTACTCTGGGTGGAATATGGTCGAACACTGGAATGTGATCGTGAGTCTGACCTCCCAATCTTTCTTCTCTGGAGAAGGCTGGTTCGGCTGGGATGGGATTATGAGTCTGTCCCTCCAACCTTTCTTCTCTAGAGAAGGCTGGTTCGGTTGGAATGGGATTATGAGTCTGTCCTCCTAATCTCTCGTTCGGCTGGGTATTATCAACCCTCGGTCCCAAAGGAACATTATCTGGGAAAGTTAGAGGAATCTTCCCCATATCTGTTCGGTTGAAAGTTGTGACGCTTGGAAACGTACTGTCAACGTATGATGGTTCTGCAAACGTTGATCCTGAGAAAGTCGCCTGAAAACGAGAAGGTGACACGGCTGGAAGCATGTTTGGATACAGGGTGAATCTGGAGAATGCCTGATCCAACATGTTTTGCATTAGATTTTGTTGTTCACGCAACATGTTCGTTTGTTGCTCACGCAACATATTCTGCATAACTAAAGTATGCTGGTTGTTCATTTGTTGAACATAAGACCACCAATCAGTTGGTGGTTGTGGGTTTTCCCCGGCATTTGGCACAATAGGTGGTGGAACGGATTCTCCCGCCGGTGCCGAAGATGATTGCGGTTGTGAACCTGCCATATGGACCCTTCCGATGATTCGGCCGGATCTAAGACGTATGAAATTATCGCCGGAATTGGAATGAGCAATTGTGTCTTGCTCCCACTGTGGTCGCCAATTTGTTGATGTAATTTTTCAACAAAAATAAAGTAAAATTCAAAGATATAGAAAATATCCTTAAACTTGATTAATTAGTGCCTGAGATTAGGAATCTCTAAACACTGTAGTACATAAAATAAACTGGAAAATAAAAGACTGAAATTTAAAGTGGTGATCCCCAAATCTGACTTTGCTTTGTTGAAGTTGATTGAAGATCCCTTTTCTGACGGATTTGAATCCTTAAATAGCCTTTGAAGAAAACGGTTTGAACCACCGTCTGGTCGGTTACAGCAACCGCTGTCAACCGACCATCAAATTCTCCTCAATTGACACGTGTTACAACTTCCTTCAACCGTTCCCATCAGTCACAGAACTCAGACATGCCTCTTACCCGACCTGCCTGTCCACTGCCAAATTTCTTTTGGCTGACTTCGTCCTTCGCCCGACCTGCTTCTTCGCCCGACCTCACTTGGCCGACCTCCGCATCAGCCGCCCTCCGTCTTTGACACTTGGCCGACCTCCGCATCAGCCGCCCTCCGTCTTTGACCGAAGACCTCCGCGTCTGTCCGTACATCTTCCTTGCCCGACCTTCCTCTTGACAGACCTCCGCGTCTGCCCGACTTCGCCTTTCACCCGACCTACGGTTTACCCGACTTGGGTACACCCCTTTTTTTTTAGACTCCGCCCGACCTTTCTTCCTTTTCCCGACCTTTATTCTGCCCGACCTCCAGACCTTTTGGCTTTCGTTCAGACCCTACCCAGAATCCTACTGCCACTTACTATTATTATTATTTTTTTGTGCTTAACAATACATATTTCTATTTTGGAATGTCCAATTACAAAGTAAATATTTCATTAAATACCTCACTATTTTCCGCAAATACCCTTACTTTACATGACATCGTTACTTTTATACCAAAGAGAAAAAAAATAAAATTATCATTATAATATTATATATTTTTACTAATCAATAAATTATTATTATTTTCTATAAATCTTTTTAAAAACCTCAAATGAGTAATTTCGTACAAAATGGAGTAGAGAGAAGAACATCGCAAAACGTTTGCCTATATATAAACCAAAAAAATAAAACGATACTTCTTTTGAATAAATAAAAATTCATTTTCCAGCTAAGGATTTGGACCGGTTTAACAAGTAATCGGAAAAAAAGTCCGGTTTGAACAGATAGTATTTAAACGCAGCATTTGGGGCGAATCGGATTTGCGTAAGAGACAACACAGCGACTGCGTCGCTTTGCCTGCACTGCTGCTGCTGGACGACGTTCCGCGTTTTGCTATAGGATTTTGGATTTGCGGAAGGAATCTGGTTTGTAGCTTGGCAATACGGTGGAGAATTTTGGCATAGGTGTGCGGTTTCATGTGAAGGTCGGACGGACGGACGGACGGACGGAGAGGTGATTGGTTGCGAGTGCTGAGGTTTTTTTGGAATTTAATGTTATGGAGGATAGTTAATCGCGTGCAGTTTTTTGCTATTTTTGGTTGATTTGCTGTGTGTGTTGATGATGATGATAATGATGTGCTTTTGGATTTAATAGGTGATGTTGATGGGGAAGTTTGGATTGGTGTACTGGATTTGCGTTGCTTTGGTGGTGGAAGTGTGTTTGTGTGCCGATCGTTCTTATGTGTTGGAGTTCTCTTACGCTACGGTTTCTCCGCTTGGTGTTCCTCAACAGGTGAAATGATGGTTTTCGTGGTTTAGATTGGAATTTATTTTTATTTATAATTGTTGTTTCGGTTTTCTAGATTGTCGTTTATTTTTGGTTTGTTTGGTGCGAATGAGTCACGACGTTTTGGTTTCTGGTTGAATTGAGGAGTTCCTGTGATTTTTATTGTTGTTTACGTATATAGATTTCATCTGCTTTCGCGTCGGCGGAATATTGGTATTTTCAAATTCTGGATTGTATTTGGCGATGGAAGATAGCGTCTGCGGCGTCGTTTTATTGCTTCATTTCGTTTCCCTTCTTCTTGTTCGTTTTATGAGGCCATCGATGTATTTTCTCTGTATTCTTCGCGGGTTTTGATTGATTAAAGTAATAAAAAATTACTGCTTAAATTCTAGGATCGTATGGATGCATTTTGCAATGCCATTTCAATTTCCGTAAGCTCCATAAACTACTGTGTTTATATCTGAAATTTATGAGAAATAGATTTCGAACGTTTTCTAGGGTTTACATTTGTGATTTACTATTAAAAAATAAGGTTTAGATTCCAAGTTTTAAATAGAAAATAAATAGTAGATGTGATTATTTGAATAAAAGATATTCTTGGATTTGATGTTTTGAATAGAAAATAAGCATGAAGAGTATAGTATGCATGTTTTTAGTAAAAATATTTAACTGTAAGATAACAAGATAGAAACATAAACAATCTCAATCTTCGTATTATGTTACATTAAAATAGTGCATGGCACTCTTTAAAATATGAAAATACAATCCATTTCATTTCTGTATTGCTTTATGTCCAAAGCTTGATGTTAATTCAAACTGATTATGTCATTTTGTAGGTGATTGCTGTCAATAAAGAGTTTCCAGGTCCTGTTCTTAATGTCACAACCAATGACAATGTTTATGTCAATGTCAAGAATCATATAGATGAGAGTCTCCTGGTCACCTGGTAGGCTCTATAGTCCAACTCCATTTTTTTTTTTTTGTAAAGTTAGCCTGTGTTCACTCTTTCTTCATAGCTTCTTTAAGCATTTGATCTATTGATGCAAATTTGATTGTAGGCCGGGTGTGCAGATGCGTAGATCATCTTGGCAAGATGGACTTCGGGGCACAAATTGTCCCATCCCGCCGAGGTGGAACTGGACCTATCAATTTCAGGTCAAAGATCAGATCGGCACCTTCTTTTACTTCCCATCGCTGGGCTTGCAACGAGCTTCTGGTGGCTTTGGTTCGTTTATTATCACGCCCCGTGATGTTATTCCACTTCCTTTTAATCCTCCTTTCGGGGATTTCGTCATCTTTATTGGGGATTGGTATACTCGCAGCTATAAGGTATTAGTTTATGATACAGAGTCTGGTTATTGATTATGGAGCAATCTGTTTGCCTGATTAGTGTCATGCATTTGAACATTAGGATCTTCGGAGTGCACTCGACAATGGAGAAGATTTAGGAATGCCGGATGGAGTTCTCATCAATGGAAAAGGACCTTACAGATACAACACCTCTGTTCCTGCTGACATTAAGTATGAAACTATAAATGTCGATCCTGGTAAAGTTCTTAAATCCATTGAATTTTCTCATAAGATCCCTTCTTTCATTCTAACTTATTGTTCGTCGTAAGCTATATCTTCTTATATACATTCTTCATATGCTTCGAATTCAGGCAAAACTTACCGTCTTCGCGTCCACAACGTTGGATCCTCCACTTGTTTGAATTTTCGAATTCAGAACCACAGTTTGGTTCTAGTTGAGACGGAGGGATACTACACTACTCAGCAGACCTACACAAGCATGGACATCTGCGTCGGACAGTCTTACACATTTCTCGTTTCCATGGACCAGAATGCAACGAGCGATTACTACATTGTTGCCAGTGCGCGCTTCGTGAATCAAACAGTTTGGCAAAGAGTAACCGGTGTAGCCATCTTGCATTATTCAAACTCACAAGGACCAGCCACCGGCCCCCTCCCTGCCCCTCCCGACGATTTTTACTACCAATCATATTCCATGAACCAGGCCTTGTCCATCAGGTGAGCAACCACTGATCTTATCCACATCTTCTTTTCCAGCTGAACATCGATTTTTCAATTCGTGTTTCAGGCAAAATGTTTCTGCTAGCGGAGCTCGTCCTAATCCGCAGGGCTCCTTCCGATACGGCACAGTCAATGTAACAGAAGTTTATGTGCTGAGGAGCCTCCCACCGGTGATGATTGCCGGAAAAATAAGATCAACATTCAACGGTTTATCCTTCGCCAACCCTGAAACTCCGATGAGGCTCGCAGATGTTTTCAACGTGAAGGGTGATTACAAACTCGATTTCCCAGCTAAGCCCAGGGACGCGCCGCCTATCAGAGACACGTCCATCATCAACGCTACATACAAGGAATTCGTAGAGATCGTGCTGCAGAACAACGACACAGTTGTGCAGACATTTCACTTGGATGGCCACTCGTTCTTCGTTGTCGGGTACCCCTTTCGAAACCAACAACCATTTCATCTTCTTAGAGCTAAACAATCACATTTCGCTTATAATTAACGATAAAAACAGAATGGGATACGGCGAATGGAGCGAGAACAGCCGCGGCTCATACAACAAATGGGATGCAATAGCCCGCTCTACTGTCCAGGTAGAAAACGATAACACAATAGCTCAGATGTTCAAGATTTGCTCGATATCTAACAACATTGTGCCACAGGTTTACGCCGGTGGCTGGACTGCAGTCTACGCCTATTTAGACAACGTTGGCGTGTGGAACCTCAGGACAGAGAACCTCGACAGGTGGCATCGCGGACAAGAAACATACCTGAAGATCGTCAATCCAGAAGACCGCGACAACTCTACAGAATTACCTGTTCCCGACAATGCTCTCTACTGCGGCGCAGTCGCCCACCTGCAGAAGTACACTACACAACACATCGATCACACGTCCTTAATTTGATCCGTCCCGACACGCTAACTTATATATATACAATATTTGCAGGCCTCAGAAGGGTTTAGCATCCTCCATTGTTGATGCAAGCTCACCATTCCATACTGCTGTTCTTCTGGTAATCATCTCTTCTACATTCCTTTCCATAATACTATGGTAGCTTTCTTTTAAGGTATGTTATGGTAGGTAGATATATATTTATACTTGGATGAGCTTTTCAAGATGTTTGTGATAAGTTATATTTATTATGTGTGGTGACATTTTGTGTGGCTTAAAATATTTAGTGTTGGGTTAATACATTTATATATTTATTTGTGATTATTTTTCACATTTATTTGGATAAATTTGTAAAGAAAATAGTAAATATTAATATAATATGTATCTGTGAAATACTAATGACTTTTCAAGTTAATGGATTATGCTATCTGTTTTGTGACGAATTTTTAATTGTTTAATAGTAATTTACTAATTTGGTCAAATCAAAATAATGCTTATTTGATCTTTACTAGCACCCTATCGGCAGCCTAAATATAAGGGCTAGTTTCGGGCTCTGATTTGTCTCACTTAACATGTAAAATATAGACAAGATAATATATATTTTCATTTAATACAATGCACGTGGTACTATTTGAAATATATCTCATTAGTTCGAATTTGTAAGTATGTTTAAAATTAATGTGTGTATTATGATAATTATTGTTAATTCATATGTTTTATTATATTAACATGAAACGTGTTAACATAATACAAAGATAATAGATAATTTATAATACAGTCTCATGCAATAGTTTTAAATAAAGGCATATACATATGTATTGATTGAGATTAATGAACACCATCAACATTTATAATCAATATTCCCATCTGCTGCAAGGTTATCATTTGATTTTTGTGTCATTGTATTTGATATTAAAAATATTGTTATATTTGAATAATTTATTATAAAAATATGATTGTATTGGTATTATAAAAGACTAATAAATATATATATATATTTTTTTTTCTCTGGTACTAGATTTTGATATAATAATTAATATTCAACCTTACAGCAGGACAAAGAGAGTATTATAATTTATTTAAAATAATTTATGTGCTCAGTATAAAATATTATTTAAACAAAATCTGATTAAATAAGTTCAACACCAACTATTATACTTAACATCAAATTTTCTCGATACACTTCTATATATATATATATATATATATCTAAACAATACCATTATTATTTTACTTAAAAATCGATTTCTAGTGAGGCATTTCCTATTCTTGTGCGGAGATGCACGAACGACCTTTATCGCATTGACTGACACAACCAAGTACCTTGTCCACATCTTTTTCAGTGATACCTGTATTGTGTTAAAACAAAACTAATTTAAAAGTAATTACGTTATCCATCTTATTTATAAACAAAATATAGAAAACTCCTATTATAAATTAGGTAAAATATCTTACTTTGAGAAAATATATCTTTGCAACTTTCATCAATACATTGCTTGCATATGTGAATGTCGTCTGTTAAAAGAATATGAAAAAATTTGCATCGCAATGCACACACAGCCATACATGCTCCTTGGCCCGAAGGCACAAATAGGCAAGCGGGAAATGCACAATGCTTAAAGCATTTTTTAAAACTCGCTGACACTTGACTCGAAAACAATAGTGCCATGACTATCATTGTAGTCATTAGTTGAATATTTTTTGTCGTAGTCATGGCTTTGAACTTCTAATAAATCTTCTAATTTATTTTGTGTTTTGTATTTTTTGAAATAAACTTGTGAAAGAGGTAGATTATTTATACTAAAAGTATTGAAGAATTAAGAGTAAGTAAATTAATTAGATGTATTTGGTATGGATTTTGTGAGTTATATATATATATATATATATAGGTTTTAAGAATATATAAAATTTGCTCAGAATAATTTTGAAAGTAATTTTACTTTCTTTTTTTTTTTAAAAAAAAAAAAATACATTGATAAAGCAAATGCATTTACTAAAATTATAAATAATATTGGTTGTTCTTTGATTTGAAATAAAATGTTAATTTTAGTTTTTATTTAAATAATATTTTTATATGATATTTTTGTGAAAGAAAATAGTGTATGTTTATTAAAATTTGTGCAAATTGAACAATATTAGTTTTGATTTTAAATGTTAAACAAATAAACCATATATATATATATATAGATTTATATAAAAAAAATGTAATTGTTTATAAAAGTTTTAAAAAATATTTAGGCAATATACGATATTTTAAGAATTTTTATTGCAATTATTATAAATTTATGTGCAATTACTTAAATACAATTTGTATGTAAAAAATACACTGTACACAGATTATAGTGATATATTCTATTTGTTAAATCTCTATGTATTATTCCTTGTCTCATGTAATATGAGTGTATTATCGTAGACACGGAGATTTAGGTAAAGTATATTTAGTAAGTAATTAAGAAATGTATTAGTAAAAATAATTATAGATTAAGATTAAGATAACTAAATAGTTTAATTAAGATTAAAAAAATTATATTTTAAATTTTAAAATATGATTAAAGTGTATAATTAATTTTCCAAAAAAGGAAATGATAAATTACGTGGGACAAACGAAAATAGAAAATAGGGACAAATTATGTGAGATAGATGGAGTATTTGTAATTTGGAATATCTTAAAATAATTAAACAAAAATTATTGACAAAAGACTAAAAAAAATTGCTGCAGTTACTTTTGCATCAGCCGAATGAGTAAATATGCACTGTTCGATCATGTCCTTGTTAGGTCATAGGGTTATTATTTGACAAGATTAATTCCATAAATTCACATTTACTAATTTATATTTGAATTTTGTTAGAATATGTAGAATAATGTGTTATTATTTTGAGTAAATTTTTGCTAAATTATAATTGTTTGTAAAAGTTTATAATTGTATTTATGCAATATATGAAATTTTAAAAAAAAATATTACAATTATTATAAATTTATGTGCTATTACTTAAATACAATTTGTATGCATAAAATAATTCCTTCATCCCAAATAAAAGGGGCATTTTGGGATTTTACGATAGATTTAAAAATAATCGTATTTTATTAGTTAGTGAAAATATGTAAGAATTTTTATATTTTTACTATTTGACTTTAAGTATAAAGTAATTGTATGTGTAATGGTATATTTATAATTTAAAAGGTGTCATGCAGGAAGTATATTTTAAAAATACTTCTATACCTATTTATATTATTACACAAGTTATTTGAATATTATTTTTTCTACATATTAATCTATATATTTATATGTTGTCTCAAATTATTTACTTCAATTAAATATCAATATGTTATTTTTATTAACTATAAATATATATAATTATCACTTAATTTAATAAATATATCAAGATTAAAATTGTGATATTAAATTCAAAATTTTTACTGTTCAAATTTCAATTCAAAATCCAAACCCTCAGACAAACACACCTTAAGGTATTGAAGAATTAAGAGTAGGTAAATTAGTTAGATGAATTTTGCATGGATTTTGTGAGTTGATATGAGTCTCTCTCTCTTCTTCTTCTTTTTTTTTTTTTTTTTTTCTTTTTAATTTTTCTATATAGGTTTTAAGAATATATACCATTTGATAATAATAATTATAAAAATACAATAAATTGTAATTGTGTGTAAAGGTTTAAAATTTATTTAGGCAATATATGAAAATTTTAAAATTTTTATTACAATTACTATAAATTTATGTGCTATTACTTAAATACAATTTGTATGCAGAAAATACACTATATATAAATTGTAGTGATATATTCTATTCGTTTTACATCTCTTCCTATTATTTGGGTCAATTTTACTATTTTTGTTGTATCTTATTTATTTATTTATTTATTTATTACAACAAATTACAAATTATTGGCCATGTATATATTGACAATAAGATCTGTATGTATCATCGGAGCATGAAAATTGTGCATTCATCCAATCATTATTATCTACACAAGCAAATAATACATATTATACAATATGTTGTGACAATAATTATTTTATTTCAATTTATTAGATATAAAATTCTGAGAAAATAAATGATTTGATTTAATTGGAAACTCTAATAATGCCTAATGTGTTTTTGGGTACATTGTTATATTTACCTAAACTATGTGCCAATTAAATTGAGCTAAATGAATATTTCCTAAAATTCTAATATAAATTGATACTCCTTGTTAGCTTATAAAATAAAACTATATTAGATTATGAATTTTTAAAAACTACCAAATAAATATTACTATAATTTTTATATGCTAAATTGCTAATATAAAAATTTTATTTGTTTACCTAGAAACACTATTGGAGGAATTGGCATATGATATAACATGAAATCATTTAAAAATTAATTTTAAAATTTATCGAGATTTGAAGTTTTTATAAATGTTATTTAAAAATCATTTTATAAATCTATATTTGTAATACTTAAATAATATATCATTTTATAAAATGATGAAATCAATCCTCTAATTAGTATGTAAATAAAAATAATATTTTTACCCCCATAAAAAATCTTATCCATTGATCTTAACTGCTCCCTCCGTTTCACATAATTTGTCCCTATTTTCTATTTTGACTGTCCCACATGTCCTTTCTATTTTTGAAAATATAATTATATACTTTAATCGCATTTTAAATTTTAAATTTTATAATTTTCTTAATTTTAATTAAACTATTTATTATCTTAATCTTAATCTATAATTATTTTTACTAATACATTTATTAATTACTTACTATTTATACTTTACCTAAATTCTCGTGTCTACGGTAATACACTCATATTACATGGGACGGAGGGAGTATCATTTAGTGGCTATGATTTATTGAGGATAGGGCTGAATATAAATATGGTAATTTGATTTTATTATGGTAATTTTTTAATTATAAAATTATATGCATGGTAATAAATATATTATCTTTATTATAATATTTTGAAAAATACGAGGGGCAAAATAATAAAAAAAACACATAATTTTATTATTTTAAAATATAATATCTTTTTCACAAAATATCTAAAAACATAAAAATATACTTTATAAAGTTTAAGTCAAAGGTATTCATTTGATTTTTGCACGCGAATTTAAGTGTATTAATATTTTATAAACATGTAAATGTATTTTTTTATTTTTTATTTTTTGAACTTTTGACATTAATAGTATTGAAATAATAATGACAAAAAATATGAATATTTTGACATTTAATTAAATATACTTTTATTTTAAAAGAAAATAAATACTCTCAAAATCAATAATTACATTATTATCATTAAAAAATAAAAATAAAACCCTTTCAAAATCCAAAGGGTAATTTGTTAGCGTATTATCTTTAGTAAAATATCTAAAAAATATACATATATATATTAATACTTTTTATGTCCCGAGTTAATTTATATATTTTTTATTTTTGTTCGTGTCACTTTAATGTATACATATTTTCTTTTTAGTAATTATAAACTTTATTTTTTTTTTACAAATATTCTTAATTTACTATTATATAATTATTTTTACATCAAAAGGTAATGATAAAATTATTTTTACATTATTTTTAACTATTAATTATGATTATATTACTATTATTTTTAAAATTCTGCATTAAAAGTAAACATATAATTCAACACGGAACCAATGATTTTTTTGATGGGTTTGGAAAATATTTAATATTAAAATAATGTATTATGAGATATTTTGTGAGAGAAAAAAATATAATTGTGTTTTTTTGTGGATTTTAGCACATACTTTTACTATTTAGATTTTTTTTTCCTTTAAAAATATCATATCAAACAATTAATTTTTTTTATATTATACTATAAATTTATTTTATATTCAAAATATCAACAACTATTCAAAATCAATTTTTTACTATTCAAAAATCCAAACTCAGAAACTAAAATCCACGAACAAACACACCCTATAATTTTTTTTTTTTTTTTTCAAAAAACATATAATTTAAATAGTAAAACTATGTGGTTTAGAAGCTAAAGCAAAACATGCAATACTAATTATTCTTCTTTCTTCTTTTCTACTTTAAAAAAAAAAAAAAAAAAAAAAAAAAAAAAAAAGTCTATTAAAACACTCTCCAAATTAAATAAACAATATTACCTCCACTCAAAATATTTTTTTATCATTTTTATTTGTCTCACTGTAAAGTATTACTTTTTATTTTGAAAAATTAATTACACATTAATATCAAAATATATTTAACTTTTACGTAAATTATAAATATATTATTGCACGTACAATTACAAAGATAAAAATATTAAAACTTCTTATATAATTCCACTAAAAAATAGTCCCTCCGTCCAGTTAGAAAGTATATATATTTCTATTTTGGGACGTCCAATTACAAAGTAAACATTTAATTAAATACCTTACTTTTTTCCACAAATACCCTTACTTTACATCACATCATTACTTTTACACCAAAAAGTAAGGGCAAAAATGTCATTACACTACTTTTAACTACTCACTATAATTAAAATACTATTATTTCTTAAACACTGCACCAAAAGTAATTGTATATTTTATGAGTGGACGGAGGAAGTAACATAATATTATTTTTTAAATTTACTACAAAAATCTGAAATGATTGATTTGGATTGAAACGAAAGAATTAGCATATAATATTATTAATAATAAAAGTATCACTTACCAAAAACATAGAAATAAAAGACAATTAACTTTTTCAGCCATAACAATTATATATATTCATAATTATCGCTGACCAACTCTTCTACTAACCAATTCAACTAACCATAATTATTTACAAAACCGTCCGATATTCACTTGCTAAAAACATACTATTTCAATCTCATATTATATATATATATATATATGCATACATACATACAGACAACACTGTTTATCGAAACATCGGAAAAATAGATACAACAATGGCAGCTGCCGACCGGAGGACATTCATCTTAGTCTTGATTTTATTATGTATTTTGCCGGCGTTGACTCCCGTCGCAAAGTCAAAGCCGGTTCATAATTACGCCGACGCCTTGTCCAAAAGTATAATGTTTTTCGAAGGTCAGCGGTCCGGGAAGCTCCCGCTGACGCAGCGCCTCAGATGGCGCAAGGATTCCGCCCTTTCCGATGGATCTGACAATGCCGTAAGTCTGGCTTATTGTGTGTGTACATATATATATATACACGTGTGTGTTTCGACAAATCTATCTATTTTAATTTTTTATAAAAATATAAATCTACTCTTGAATTCTCAATTTATTTTTTTTAGAAGTTAAGATATGTTTAATTTAATTTAATTTTTTTAAAACTCTATGGAACTCATTGGGTTTATTTCGATGTGGTTTGATGATTTGGAATAAGTAAAATTTTGGATTGAAATATCTTTTCCTTTTTTCTTTTTAAGTGACGTAGATATGCGTTTGATGTACTTTTCTAAATGAAATTAGTTTTTTATTTTTATGCAAAATTTTAAATTATAAATAAATGTTGATATAATATTTTGAGTGAAAAAAAAAAATGATGAATTGTGCGAGATAAAACACAAACGAATTTGTTTGATCGGAAGTTTGGAATTGGATTTAGGGTTTTGTTGCTTTTAATATCAAATTTTGTAGTAAATTAAAAAATAATAGTATCTTATTGATGAGAATTATAATATTTTTGCTCCAAGTACAAAAGAAATTGATATTTTTATAAAATTAGAGTTATTTTAAAATTTCTTTATAATTATTCTTATTATAAGGAAAAGAGAGAGACCGAAAAAATAAAGTATATGTTATATGGATTACAATTTAGTGTTCTCAATTTATATGTTGTATTTATACTAATAAATACATAGCTTATGCGGTATTTATTTTATTTGTTGTCGGCTTGATGCTAATTAGTCGGCACATAAACAACAGCACATAAATATTATACATTATATTTTTTAAAAAATAAATAAATAAATAAATATTAATATAATATTTTGTTTCACAATCAGGTAGACTTGACCGGAGGGTACTACGACGCCGGCGACAACGTGAAGTTCAATTTTCCGATGGCCTTCACAGCGACGATGTTGGCGTGGAGCGTGCAACAATATGGTCGATTCATGGGCAACGACTTGCCGCATGCCGTCGAGGCCATACGGTGGGCGACCGATTATTTCCTCAAGTCGACGGCGACGCATGGCGTCGTTTACGCGCAAGTCGGCGAGCCGTACGGCGATCACGCCTGTTGGCAGAGGCCGGAGGACATGACCACCCCGAGGACGAGTTATCAGGTAAATACGACGGCGCCTGGGTCAGAAGTCGCCGCGGAAATGGCGGCAGCGATGGCCGCCGCCAGTTTGGTTTTCCGGTCGATTGGAGATCGGAATTACTCCCGCCTGCTTTTGGGGAGGGCTGTTCAGGTAATTACATACAGTTTGTTCGCATAGTATTTTTCAATAAAACAATTCTCCATAAATATTATTTAAAAATATAAATATATATATTAATATAATATATATTATTCACTTGTAAAAAATCAATTTTTTTAATACAAAATATTATATTTTATATTACCAATACAATGTCCGTATTAAACACACAAAATTAATTCATCTAAAAACGAATTAGTTAACTGACTAAATATTATTTTGTTGCAATTAATTTATTTATTGAGTGCTTGTGAATTAATTTGGCAGGTTGGTTATTGGTTATTTTATGACTTACTATAATAATGATTTGACAATAAATATATTTTTTTGATATTAAATTTTGCTGGAAAAAATACTCAACTAGAATTAGTTAAAATAGGAAAGTTAGTCTATAAAATATATTTTTAATTAATTAAAATATGATAATTATGTAGTAAAATAAAATAAAATAACATAATTAAAATACGGTGTTATTTTTATTATATATTTCTTTACTCATCTAACCAAATTTGGTGAGTTTTAGATATAAATGCTACTTTTAATTGTAATTTTATATTTCAATGTACTAAATTTGCCTATATGGAAATAAATGGGACAAAAGTTAATTACAAATTGATTTTTGCAATTATTGAAAAATTTCAATTAACCTATATTTGTTGAATTTATCATATGGATTTGCATATTTTTAGGTATTTGAATTTGCAGACAAGTACAGAGGTTCTTACAATAATAGTATCGGAAATGCAGCCTGTCCTTTTTATTGTGACTTCAGCGGTTATCAGGTATTTCCATTTTAATCTTTCTGTTATTACTTTTTATAATTTTCAATATTTTTATAAAATCATAAGATAACAAAAAATTTATAACGATTTAAAATAATATTGTAAAAGTAAAATTAGCAAACATCGAGAGTAAAACAGAATCTTTTTAATATGATGGTTTTTTTATGACGTGGAAATTAACATCCAGATGTCAGAATTTTACATGTAGCTTCTGATTAAAATAATTATCGAATGTTCTGTGATTGGATAAATGTAGGATGAACTGATATGGGCAGCAGCATGGCTACATAGAGCTACAAGACAAACGCTATATTGGAATTACATTGTCGAAAACCTTCGAAACCCCGAATTCAAATGGAGAATGGAAGGCAACAACGACGAATTTAATTGGGATGCAAAGAATGCCGGCATTAACATTCTTCTTTCCAAGGTTCGCTTCGTTTTTTTATTAATATTATTACAGTCGATTTTATTATACTTTCATATAATTTAGTAAAAAATTACTCTCCATCCCTTCGAATTAGTCTTATTTTCCATCCAATATTATTTCATCTAAATAATTTATTTTTATCAATAGTTTTATGTGGTTTTCATATAATTGCTACTTTACTCTAATTTTTTTCTCTATTTTTGTCAAATAATATTCTATACTTCACTCTTGATCTCATTGAATTTCAGAATATTTTAGACTTTTTCATCTTATATAAATTAAGTTACCAATATAAATATTTTTAATTTATTATATAAAAAAATTAAGATAATTTAAATGAAATAGAAATAGTATATTCTTCTTTATGGTAATAAAGAAAAAAAAATGCATATAGATAATAGATTATTTGTATTTCGTAAAATTCTACATAAAACTCTTCATTCATTAAAATTTATCATGTTTATAAGATAAAATCAGAATTGAAATTGCGCATTTAATTCATTATTTCATTTTTATTTTTACTTTTCTTACGCGATAGTGATATAAAATTTACCCTCATCGTTGACTTTAAGATTATACGATGTTGTCTAATTATTACCTCATCTTCGTCTTCAGTTCGTGTTGGCCAATGGTTTGGAAAGCTCGACGCCGTTCATCAACTATGCCGACAACTTTGTCTGTAATATACTTCCCGAATCTCCAACAAGATATCAACATTTTTCTTCAGGTATATTCAATGGTTATACTTTTACTGATTTTTAGAATGGTTATAAGAGTCGAGTTTAAGTTTAAAAAATAAAAATAAAAATGAAATACCCTAATAATAAAAGCTCTAACAACTTTATGTGTGGCAGGTGGACTTATTGTAAATTCGAAAATTTGTAACATGCAATCTGTGACTTCTCGATCGTTCCTACTTGTAACTTACGCCACAGCCTTGAAAAGATGGAATCGAACAATTCAATGCGATGGCACGATCATCACTCCATCGCGCATCGTTAGATTCGCAAAAACTCAGGTATGTGTATAATATATAATTTTTCTTCATTTCTTTTATATATATAACTAGTAGATTGGATTTGATCGAGTTGGAATATATATAAGTCGTAATTTCAAATATGTATTTATATATATATTTTAACAATAATAAAATATATATATATATATATATTGAAGGTGATATAATAATCAAATTTATTTTAGCAACCATTATTTAAAAATTTCATTTGAAAAAAAATATTACATTCAATAGTTATTTTGCTATTTAAAATAATATATAAAATATTTAATTATTATTCAAAATACTTTTTTCAATATTTATTTTTTATTCAAATTTTTCTATTTCTAAAATACTCTAAGACATCAAATACTTTCAAAATATAAGTAAAATGCATTCATAATAATCGAATATTTTCATCGTTCATGTTATGTTTTTTTTCCCATATTTTGCTCATTATTTTATTTTAATTTTAAACAAATATTCACTCTCTCAACTAAAAGAAAATAAAATTGTCATCTATGTATACTTCTCTTATATTTTTTTTATTTTTAACTCTGAAATTTATTTTAATTCACCAATGCAAATGTGTGTATTCAGGTGGACTATATATTAGGTGATAATCCGATGAATATGTCCTACATGGTTGGATACAGCGAAAAATATCCGCAAAAAATACACCATAGAGGGGCGACATTACCGTCCATTGATGTATATCCGCAATTTATTACATGCCATGGCGGTGCACCATATTTCTTGAGCCCTAATCCCGACCAAAACTTGTTGATCGGAGCCGTGGTGGGAGGTCCCGGAGAAGATGACCAATTTGATTCTAATCGTTTTGATGCCGGGAAAACAGAGCCGACGACTTATGTCAATGCACCACTTGTAGGGGCCTTAGCTTTTTTTAAAGCGCTTCATCGACAATAGATTGATTATACGGCTTAATTTAAATAAAAAATAAATAGATTATTTGCAAAAATTATTTAATTGCAAATAAGTATTTAAAAAAAAAAAAAAAAAAATTGTTGGAACCTTTGAGAATGTATCTTCTAACTTTGTGAAATCTAAAATGGTTTCAATATTTGTAGTATGTTATAAGTGGATGTGGATATTTGTATATGTGATGTGTATGTGTTTGTATATTCTAACATATCGTGTTCATATTGTCATTTACGTTTTTATGTTACTTTTTTTTTAAATAACTACACATTTAATTTATAATTTTTTTTAATTAGAGTAATTAGTTATTTAATACTGTTAATTTTTAATTATTTAGAAATTATATCTCTAAATTTTAGTGTCTATTATAATTCAGACATAGACATGTATCAATAATTCAGTATTTAATGCCAAAATTATATTTTTTTAATTTCAATATTTTGATATAAAACAGTATATTGCAAATATCATACCAAAAATTTGGCACATTTTGTCATACAAAAATTTTTATACTCGATATGTTTTTTTAATAGTAAAATTTCAGAAAAATGACCAAACAAACACCCACTTCATAATCTCAGTCCAAATTCTACGCTCTAATCCAATCGGATTCGGATAGTTGATATCGATCGGCACCGGAAAGTTTGATCTGCGCCGAATGTGCAGAACCAACGATACAATCCAGCTCTGATCATCGTCTTCTTTCCTTCTTCAGCCTCGTAAGTTCAATCCTTCTTTTATTTCGATGGCTAAAAAAGTGAAATCAGCTCTGATAATTTTCCAATTACGAGCAACGATTTTGACGTCTCTTTCTGTTTTACTGTTTCAATTCCATCTTTCGTAGATGACTTTGAAGATATTTTAGTGTCTTTGTCGTTTGATCGTCTCTGTTAGTTCAGTGCAGAAATCTTCTTCCCTTCGCAGCGGTCATTAATTTTCTCGATTAATTCGGATACCCGAAGCCGTTATTGGATATCGGGCACCCGGAGAAATTCCGGGTCGGGTCGATAGCCCACCCTAGTAGAAATAGCAAAAATGCAAAATTGAGGGGGCGAGGGGGAAGGGGAAAATTCGACTAAGGAAGACAATGAGTCAAAGGAAATCTGTGAGCGGAAGGCCGTCGGGAACTGATGGTTCTGATTTTTCTTACCGGATGGTTGTCGATTCCAGTACGATTTCGTCGAAATTTCTGATTTGTTTGCTCCAATTTTTCGCTGAATTGTATGTGATTTGAAGTCTGTACGTGTTGTTAATTTGGTTAATTTGAAGGATATCAGAAGGTTGCGGATGGAAAATCACGTCTAGGTTCACTGATCTTCGCCCAGGTGCGTCTTCCTTTCAATTTGTTCTTCGATTTTGGGTAGAAATTGTGGAGTTCAGAATGTGTATGGAGAACAAAATGACCAGAAAATGAATTGAATGATTTGAGTCTGAGTGTGGATGGAAGAAATGGAAATTGAACAATTCAATGGAGAAGAAACACAATCTTCTGTTTAGAATTACTCAAAAGTTCTATATTGCAATTGTATCAAAGATTGTTTGTTATCAATCTGATGGAAATCATTCTCAATAATTTGCAGGGCTTTATTCAATTTCTAGCTGCTGTTGTTTTATACTTATCTGCAGTAGAAGGGGGCACACTTGATAGGCTTTCTGTTGCTTCGAGCGCGGTTTACTTTATATCTCTCTTGATGGGGGAATTAGGTATGCCGGAGCATCGAATTTGTTGATAGTTAGCATTGGTTTGCATATATGGATTCTTTTTAATGTAAATTTCATAATCATAATTGTTGTTATGAAGGGCGAAAGCGCAGCCGAACTGGCCTTTTGAAGGTGTATTTGTTAGGATCATCAGTTGGTGTTCTTGTATCCATTGTTTGTCTTCTTAAAAGTGGAAAATCACTCGAGGTAGAATGCTTCCACTTCCCTTTTCAAGCATTGTTGTTTGTCTATTTTTTGCTATATAAATAGGCATTGCAGATAGAATAATTAGAGCAGGATTTTTAAGGATCTGAAGTTTGTATCCTAGTCTCGATAAGTCTTCAATCTTTCTAGGAAGAAAGTGTCGATCAACTTCAATATACTTCATTCGTTCATAGAATTAATACATCATGTTTGAAGATATATATTCAATAAGGAATTGAATGGTATGCAAATCAATTATATGTTTAGGGAAAACTGCATATAATCCAACTGTGGTGTGGTTTGGAAATTTTGCTTCATTCTCCCCTGTGATTCAGAAATTGCATGAGATTTTATCGTATTTTCAAGAATATTGTACAGAACTCCTGTAAATTGCATGAGGCTCATTCTTGGTTTTGAACACATTGCACTAAATCACTTTTTGCCTTATATTTATAACAAGTTTCTAAACCACATGTAGATTATAAAATTTTTTGCCTTATATTTATATTCGTAACAAGTTGAGCATGTAAATATGCTTGAATGTAGATACAATAATTAGAGGAAGATTAGAGCAGGATTTTGAAGGATTTTCAGTTTGTATAGTAATTAGACGCCTAATTTTATGAATGTACTTTAACCATTCGCTATCAATACGTGCATCTTGGCTTAAATTGACTCCAGAAGATACACTTAACTAACTGCAATTGTTGCTGCTTATTTCGTCGTATCCTCTAGTGAACTAGCTATGGTAATAGAAATGTTTACATAGTACCACACCTTTAGATGATACAATTCTTATTGTATAGAGAACAAAATAAATTTTACAGCGAAACTAAAATTGCTGCTTATTTTGGGTACATGGCATGTAGGATACCTTTGTTGTTGATGTTGTGAGGCCTCGTTTGGTTGGATGGATTTGGATTTGTGGATGCATTATAAATGAATTGTTTTTAATTATTTTAGATATGAAATGCTTCATATTAAACTTTATCTTTTGATTGTTGGAAGTATTTGAAATGACATAGTATAAAGAATATGCGAAATATTGAAAGGGGCGAATTTATAATCTACGACCAACTTAAGAAATTTGAAATTCATCGCATTGTCAAGCGAATGAATTCGATGGAGTCATATGATATACATGGCCCGTTTTGGCAATGTTATGGATTTCAAATCTCTAAAATTGGCTGTGAATTTCAAATCCATCTTTAATATTTCAGATACTCTTTATGCCATATTATTTCAAATACTTCATGCAACCAAACAATAGATTTTAATTAATGAAGTATTTCAAATTCGAAGTAATTGAAATCATTTTATTTAAAATCCAAATTCATCAAACCAAACGAGTCCTTAACTCAAACCCCTCCAACTGGGGCCTTAAGATTTTGCACTGAAAATAAGAAAGAATGAAATATGTTTCTCAGATTGTTTTTTTATCAACAGTTGTCCGGGAGGACCACATTATCCATTCGAGTTTTTTATTACACTGATTGTCTTTTCCGGTAGATATGATTCTTATGAACTGCTAATTCTCGATGTATTTATGTCAACAGATTATCAAAGATTTGAGCAAATGGGAGGCCACAAATCTCGAACTCTTCAAGATTGCTGCTGTTTTACTCGGTAATAAATATCACGCCCCAAAATAAAAATGTCAAAACTCGTTACTACAATGGTTCTTATGTTGTTCCAACACAAAACATCGCAGGCTCGCTGTTGCAGATACTTGCAGTGAGCACGACAACCTCTCTCATCGGCAATATGGCGCCTCCCAAGAGAGCGTCATGAATGAATTTCTAAGCTTTTGCTTGGGAATCAACCGGCGATTATCTTTTTTCATTTATTACAAGTCCTTTATTCTCTTGTGCGATCCATTTACGTTTATTTGTTTCAGACAAAATTTTGTAGACTATTTGTGTTAACCTAGAAGAACATTTGATTGATATAGTTGCAACAATGGATCGCGAAACTGCATTATAAAACACCGTGTATTCTAATCATGTTTTAGTCGATGCATTTTGTCGCATATTTATGCACGAGCTAATAGTGTTATATCTCGGAGTTGAGACGAATTTAAGTTGATTGATTAGATTGTTCGTATTAACAATATGCACATCTTTTTTTTTTTGAAAACTTACTTGTGTTGACCTATGTGACTATCAAAGGATCCTGAGCAACATACCATAATTACCATTGGCGGAATTACTAAGGTGGTAAAAAACTAATGGTGTGATAGTCAATAATTATTAAAGAAAATGTATATGTTAACTCGAGATAGATGGACGGAGTATTTTTTATTAGTTTATCCCTCCTAATTTTTTATTTTTTAGTGTAAAAAATTATGTAATTTTGTTGATTTATAAGTTAGAAAATATTAAAATATATAAAGTTTCAGTCAATTTTTTTTCGAATCCATCCTTACGGCACCAAATTATTTTTACTGATTTTTATGCTAACTTCATCATATGTTGTATGTTATATGATGAAATGCAGTATATTAGTGTATTAATTTGATCCGATTAGTACCCTAATAGATTATATGGTATATAATTCAATAAATTATGCAGAGTCTATTGATTGGACGAATTTTGTATTGTGTTCAGACATTAGAGAAATATGAAATTAAAGTAAATGGTTTCACATGTATTGTGCCTTTTATTAAGCAGCATTTGTGGGAACACACACGTGACCACATGCCCATATCTAAATACTATTATGTTCACTTTAGCTTATGTAGGTTTTCAATTCAGGATCCATTCATTTTGTTGTAATTTGAAATTGATTTGAATGAAATGTTGTATTTGAATTTTTTTATTTAAATAGTAATTTTAATATAATATTTTATTTTATTTTTTTTATTAGTGAAATAAAATAAATAGTATTAATTTTAATTTTAAAAAATTTCGTCCAGTTTAATTTTATTTTATTATTATTAAAATAATTTAGAATAGCATAACAATATGTGTACACGAATATGGATGGTCCAGAAATGATTCAAGGCGCAACTGACGCTATCCAAAAACCTACCTGTGTGAGTAACAGAATAAATTTATACATATATATTATTGTATTGATTTGACTCAATTAAATAATCTATAAATTAAAATACATGATAACACAATATATATATATAAATTGCTTTTCACATTTAATTTTATACTCTCTCCATAAAATTACCTAAATTTGGTTGCCCATAAGATTAAGTTCAATAATAAAAATATGAATAAATAAAATGATTTATTATAAATATATTGAACAAAAATTTAACCGATCATATAAAGAAAATAATAATATAATTTTGACATAAGAAATTGAGTGTTTGCTTAATGATACGATAGATGAATAAAGTGATTTTTGAGGCTGCGTAAACATAGCCTAAACAAGATAATCATTCACAAAATTGCTGATGCTGCATGTGCCCTTTCAAACGTATATTTATATACTTCGACGCCGCTTAAATCGAAATATTTTTTTAAAAAAAAATTAGATCCCAACTCAGAGTATTTTTTTATCAATTCGGAGCATTTTTTATTATTTTCGTATGTCTTACTTTAAAGTATTATTTTTATTTTGATAAAATAATTAGTTGAATATTGTCCCACGTTGTTAAATGTGTAGAAAGGAACTCTCCTACTATATAAGGGTGAAGACCACTCCAACTATTACCGATTTTAGAATGGATGTCCGAATCCCTTCTTAACAAAATTCTCTTTTAAATCGACTTTCCAAAACTATTCATTTGTCAACCACCCTTATAAATAAATTCTCACTTCCCTTTCTCTAACACACACCTCAAAAATCAAGAAATGGAAATCCTCGCTAAATCGTCACCCAAACACGCCCTTACAATCCTCGCCCTAATTTCCACATTTGCCCTCAGCCGCGCCACCGGCTCCGGCTCGGAAGCGTCGAAGCTGTTCATCGAGGAGTCGTGCAATACGACGACGTATCCTTCACTCTGCCTCGAAACCCTAGCGCCCTACGCCGCCGTCGCAACCAGCCGCCTCAGTCTCTGCGACGCCGCGCTCGCCGTCGCAATACAGGCGGCGGGGAATTGCTCGGCCGCGGCATCGTCGGGAAGAAAGAGATTCGAAGAAGCGGCGGAGGCGGAGGTGGTGAAGGACTGCGCCGGCGACTTGAAGGAGGCGGTGTACGAGCTGAAGGAGACGGCGGCGGCCATGGCGCACCTCGGCGGCAGCGATCGGGAATTCCAGTGGTCGAATGCGAAGACATACGCGAGCGCGGCGATCACGGAGGCGGAGACGTGCGTCGACGGAATGGCGGAGCAGAAAGTCAGCGCCGCCGTGAGGAAGAAGATGAAGAAATGCGTGGATCATGTGGAGAAGCTCATCAGCATTTCCTTGGCTCTCATCAATCATCTCTACTAATTAAATTAACCATCTCTTTGTTTGTTTCGTTTTTGTATGAATTCGAGTTTTTTTTTATCTGAATTTTAGTTTGAATGATCCATCTGCCCACAATTAATATATTTATTTTACCATTGGATATTAATACGATGATTCGATCGGATCAGCATTTTTTTTTTTTTATGACGTGAAAATTGATACTTGAAAGTGCGTATTGGGTAAACCCTCAACCGAACTGCAAACTAGACTCGATGGGCAAGTCATACTAAACGAACCATGCGTGGCAAGTGATCTGAGGCGTCGAGGATTTAAACCCATGACCTCACAGTCACAAATATATATATATATATATATGTATGTTAACATATTTATAGTACTAACATATGTTATGCTACCTTGGTCCAACTCTAAGGTCTCATTTACTTTTTGCATGTTCTTTGAATGTTAATTATTATATTAATATATATTACAAATTCAGAAAAAAAAAATTATAAAAATATTTTTATTAGTGTCTTATAATACTGATATTTGTACAAAAAATTATACAAATATAAAAATATTTTCAATGTTAATACGATCCCAAAGGCAGACGACAAAGAGAGTATTATTTTTTTAGTAATTGAGGTTCTATATAACAAAAAAAAGAAAAAAGAATCCGGATATCAACTGTTGCTGAAAATTTAGTTGTAGTATATGTGTTGATCACTTAAAACTTAATTATATTAATTTAATTGATTAAATGTGTGCTCATTTGACCGGGCACAGATTTTAATAAAAGTGAATAATAATTGTTACTTTTTTTTCTATAGTAAAAAAAATACATAAAAATATAATAATTTTTTACTTAAAAAAACGAAAACATTTTTTAATAAAAAAAAAATAGATTTGAGCGAGGGTGAGAATTTAATTAATATAATTATATAAATTAAGTTTGAAATGCCCAAAAAGATGTTAAGTTAAATTTTCAACACATAATCTCGTGCGAAAAAAATAATACTATGGAGTATTTTAATTATTATTACAACAATGCCATGATTTATTTGTCTCAAAGATGGAATTATTCATTCACCCCAACATATTGTACTATTTCAAAATTTACTTATAAAAAGTAAATAAATATGTTCGAATAAAGAAAATAGTATTATAATATTATATTTTATTAAATAAAATTATGTATTTTCATTAGAAATAAGCGATGAATAGTTGTTTTTTATATTTTTTATTTAATTCTCATACTCTTTTTTTCTCAAAGTAGAGCTAATAAAAATAAATGCAATCAAAAATTTAACTTGAACACAACGTAAAATAATAATAATAATAATAATAATAATAATAATAATTTAAGCCTAAAAATTAGACACCAAATATTTTCAATTTGGGTCAGCCCAGCATGATTGAAAAGCCAAATCATACCTGGGCCCTATGCAAATCGTGTCAAGTAAAGCACAACTGATTTATAAAATATATATATATAAATATTTTTAAATATATAATAAAAAATAAAAATTAATTACATGTTTAATATTAAAATTTTCAATTATTAATAAAAATATTATTTTATCGTAGAATTTATATTAATATAATTTAGTTTTTAATAAAAATACAGAAAATATAATTAAAATTAATTTTTAAAAAATAAAAAATAAAACAAAACAAAATAAAATAGAACAAATAATAATTCTGTCAAAAATTTTGAAATAGATACATACTTGAAAAAATATAATTTACTTATATGATTTGGGCTGAAAAGAACATTGAACATAAGAATCCAATAAAAGCCCAATAGACTTTACTTCGTTTTTTCAATTTTTATAAAAAAAAAAAAAACTTTATATACGATTATATTTTTATAATATTCATAATCAATTTCTAAAATAATTTACTGTTAAAGATTAACTTTAATAACAGGCATGGGGACATCATCGTTCATTTTATTTTTTTTAATAAAATTCAAAATTCATCCACATCAAAAGGGACAATATTAATAATATTATTAGTAATAAATCATAAATTCTAACATTTTTTTAATCTCATTAAAATTTCAAAATTAAGTGTACTTGGACGATAGATAACCTTCCAGAAAATTCTTATAGCACCCAAAAAAGAGTTATGAGATGTAATTAAATTTTTTATTTTATTTTTTAGTAATAAAATTTTGATTAATTGGTAGTTGAATTATTATGTACTACTACTATATATATTTGATTAAAAGTAAATTTAAAATATTTTAAAAATTATATCTAATGTAAATACGGAGTATTATTTAATAGAAAAAATATAAATAAATAAAAAAAGCTTAAGTATTATTATAAAAAAAATGACATTATTATTATTATTATTATTATTTTATATTTTTTGTATTTTGTATTTTGTTGGTCTATAACTTTGGTCTAATTAATTAATTAATTCCAGCTGTAAAGGCTCTGCAGTAATGACCACAAAAGGACCAATCACGAAATTCATGGAATTCCCAAAAGAAGATTGGAATTAATTAATTATTAATTAATTGCAATGCTAATTATTACCAATCATAATTACTTACCCACTTAGATTTTATTAATAATAATAATAATAATAATAACTTTGAAAATCTTATCAATATGAATAATATGTTATATCAACTTTATTGTAATAAAATACTCCATCCGTATAAAAAGCAAACGATGAGTATTGCAAAAAAATTATTAAAGAATTAATTAAAAATGATGAGAAACATATAATAATAATAATAATAAATATAATATAATACAATAATCCTTATTCATATAATTTATTTTAAGTGTTTTTTTTATCATTAATAAATTAAATATGGGTAAACTGTTTTTTTAGTTCCGTAACTAGACCCTTATCATTTTAGTCCCGTAAGTGGAGCCTGTCGCAAACTAGTTCCATAAGTGAAAAATTTTCGCTGTTTTAGTCCTCCGGCGCCGGAAATGCCCGCGTGGCTCGCCGGAGGTGATGTGTCCGCCAGGTGTCGTTGACCTGACGGACACATGGATTTTTTTATTTATTTTTTAATTTTTTAAAATTGTTTTTAAAATTTATTTTTAATTTATTTTAAATTTTATTTGTATTTTTTTAGTTTTTTTATTTGATCCAATTTTAAAAAAAAATTAAAAATTAAAAATAAATAAATAAATCCACGTGTCCGCCCGGACACGTCACCTCCGGCGAGCCACGCGGGCGTCTCCGGAGCCGAAGGACTAAAACAGCGAAAATTTTTCACTTATGGGACTAATTTGCGACAGACTCCTCTAACAGGACTAAAATGATAAAGGGGTCTACCTAAAAAAACAGTCAACCCATTAAATATTTATTCAAGGTGGTTAATGCAATGAAGGTAATTGACTATAAACATGAAAATAAAATAATAATAATTTATGAATTAATCTAATATATTAAAACTTTATTTTTAATCAAATATATTGTAGTTAAATAATTTTTAGCCTGTATATTTTCCACACTTTCTTTTTAAATAAAAAGAGATGGAAGGTGGATTCTCAACCTCAATCCTTTTCCAACTCTCCATGTCTTATCAATCAACTTTTATAAAAAAAAAATATATATATATATATATATTTAAAATAATATTTATATATCTTTATAGAAAAATATAAATATAAATGTCATTTATTATTTTTTTATTTAAAGTATTATTTATTCATTTTTATAAAGAAATAAAATACAAGCATGCTCCTCCTGCAATCCATGACAAAAGTGCATTTCCTTATTTTGTGGATCCCATCTTTGAAAATCCACTCCAATAATAATAATAATAATAATAATAATAATAATAATAATTGATTAGTTAAGTAATGGCCATTGTTTAGTTTAATTATTCAATGAGTGAAATGCCAATTATTGAATTAAGTGGGCAGTAGACGGTTGTAGATTTGTGTTTGTTCGGTTTACATTTTATTTTTTAATATATTTTTTATTTTAGATACAAAGAATTATCTTAGTAATATTATTATTTTATTTTAGGTAATACTAGCATTTAAATCCGTGCTATACACACGGGTGTATACGTAATTAAAATATTTTAAAAAATAATAAATGAAGTATAAATAATTACTCCCTTCGTCCCAGAAGTAAGTATCAATTTGCTTTTTGGACGTAGTTTTAGAAATATTAGTATTATATTAGGATATAGTATGAATAAAGTATAAATGACTAAAATAACCTTATTAGTACGTGTGATATAAAGGTAATGACATTTGTGTAATATATTGTAAGTTGTAAGGGTATTTGTAATGTTAGGTAAATGATACACTTACTAAAAAAGTAAATGGATATTTTGTTACGGGACGAACTAAAATGAAAAAATAAATACTTTATTACGGGACTGATGAAGTATTATTTTAAAATAATGATTGCATTATACGTGTATGTTTCAATATTAGTTTTTATTTGAGAAAAATTAAGATAATTAACTATATTTATTATTGAAAATAAAAATAAATAAATTTTTATTTTAAATTTCAATATAAATATAAATTGATAGAACTATTATTTACATACCAAATGCAAGTCTAGTGTCTTGTATAATACATTCTAAATAATATTATTACTATTTTTTGTCTAAACTAAAGAAGACAAATGAGTTGGGATAAAAGAAATATTAAATAATTAAAATACTAATTCAAAATTATAATATTATTATTTTATTTTAGGTAATATAACATACCAAGGCTCTGTTTGTTTGTTGTGGTTTTCAATTCGAGAGTTACTATTTATTATTTTTTAAAAAAATATATATATTAAATTAATATTCTTTTTTATATTATACTAAAAAATTAATTACATTAAACATATTACATCAATGTTTATGCATACAAAATTAAACAACTATTATAATAAAAAAAAAAAAAAATCAAATATTCAAAACCACAAACAAACACACCCCCAAAGTGTTAAGTTGTAACATCCCATCATCAATTATTATGGAATATGAATGCATACAAAGCACTCTACACCATTTTCAATCCATCATATTCATTTATCCAGTTTTAACTTCAAACATACAATTGCTATAGTAATTTTACTCTAACCATAACTCCATTTTTCACTATTATTCTTCAAATATTTATTTTTTCCTATTATTTTAAACAACTTTTTATTTTTATAATTTAAAATAAAATTTTAAAAAATAAAAATTAAATTTTAAAAACAAATTTATAATTTTAAAAATTAAAAAACAATTCCTCTTCAAATCAAAATAGAGAACAAACAAACCTCATGTTTGTGTGGGAGAGTGTGTATTATAAAATATTCATTCTCTTTATCATATTCACATTGATATTTATGTCCATTACAAATTTCATTTTTTTTTAAATAATAAAAATAATACTCCCTTCCTCCCGTAACAGATGATTTTTTTGTCCATCTCATTAAAAATAACTTATTTCTATTTCTAGTAAATTTATTTATCTTAAAATATATTTAACAAATATAAATCAATTTAATTAAATTTCTAACATTTTACACGTAGCACTCACTCAAAACCCCTTGATTTTTATCTCTCTCTTTAATAAATAAATATTTTTATCTATATTTAAAACTTTTTATTTTTAATAAAATTAGTTTTAAGTTAATTATAAATAAATAAATGAATTTTTTATTTATTTGTATTATATAAAATTTTATTCTCTACAAAATAATATTCATATTGTATATATTTTATTAATTTATAATGCTAAAAATATTTAAAATACCAACAACACTACTCATATAAAAATATAAAATAATATCACAACTTATTATTGATAACTTACTAATCTACACTACCTAAAAAATATCGTGTCCTTAAGTAAATGGATCATCTTGACCGGGACGGAGGGAGTATATTTCAATTTCATTTAAAATTGAAAATTTATAATTTTTTAAATTTTTTATTAAACTAATTAATTATTATAATTTTAATCTATAGTTATTTTTATCGTATTATAATATTTTTTATTAATATCTTCATTATTTAATAATTATATTTCTCTTCGATCTATAATCTATAGTAATCAGGACATCATATTCAAGAGGCTAGGAGTAATTTATCTTATAAGAAATAGTGATTATCATAAAAGAGAATTCTAGAAATAAATAGAATCATATGTTTGGTTGTTTTCTTTTTGTATTTTAGGTACCGTAAAAACATTGATTTTTATTTTTATTTTTATTTACGATTTAATATCACAATTCTATAGAAAGTGTACAAAAATTTAATATAAAATATTATACTCAATAGCAATTTATCCAAAATCAAAACTCAAGTATAAAAATAAGCACAGTCAACAAATCTGTTATTTAAAATTTATATTAAAAAAATGGAATTAAAACAACATTGTAATGATATATCTAATAAAATCACACATTTTAAATAAATAATATTGAAAATAATTGAAAACAGAACCAAACACTTCAGGCAAAGGCCAAACCAAATTCAAGGCATTTTATGTTGAAAATGATTAGACTCAAAATTCAACTTGATCTTGTATTTTTTATAAAAATTTTATTTAATTTTATATTTTTAATATATATTTCATCTTATAAAATATTATTTAAACAATAATACAAATCAAATATAAAAATAAAATGCAAAAAGAACCTCATAAACTGATTCGATATAAACTTTTATCTTATTTTTAACAGTCCGGTAAATAATGATTTGATAGTTTGTGGTGGACTATTCGAGAGATAACATAATAATATTTAATATATTATATATACATTTATTATTTTTATATTATTTAAATAATTATTTATAATTAATATAAAAATATATATATCTTCAAATTATTTCACTAAACAAACTAGATTTTGGGTAAAATTATCATTTTGTCTATAATGCTATTGGTATAATTATTTATTCTTTGTATTAAGCAATACAAATATGAAAAATATATAGAAATTATTTTTCGTATGGTGGGAGAAATTACTTCACACCAAAAATATTTATTGTTGAATTATTAATTTCTAAAAAATAAAATATATTTATTATATATATTATATTTTTTTAATAATATTTATAAATAATCATATATTCTAAAACTATTAAGCAAACATATCCTATATATATTTGAAGAGAAAGTACACTTAAAAAAAATTCAAATTACATGAATAAAAAAAAAAGACACCACTTTAGTTTTAATTTAATTTCAATTTTTTTTATATAATTACAATAAATTTTTAAATATTTTCAAATCATAAATAAAAATATATATATTAAATATTAATTAAAAAAATTGGTCAAATAGTTGAGATCCCGATGCGGATGGGCCCACTAATAAAACACAGTCTTGGGATGTGCCAAATCTATTACAAGATGGGCCCCTTCCCGACCATAAATTTTGTCCTTTTCTATTACTTACACACGGAGGTAGACGTACGGCACGCGTGCATGCAACTTTTTTATTTTTTACTAAAATTTAATAAAATTAAATTAATCGAGTTTATTAAATACAGTATTAAAATTGAATTATCATCCACCAGCAAAATCAGAAAAATAAAATAAAAATAAAAATAATATAAAGAAAATTGAAAATCAAGTTTCGGAGAAAGCCAAACACGTCCTTACAAAACGAGATATACTCACTTACTGATCAAGTGCATTAGGGCCAGTGCAGTAATTTAACATATTATTCCATACCCACTGGACCAAGAACCGCCGTCTGATCCCATTCATATTATACGTGGCACCATCCTTACCGTTCATCATCTGTCCGGTGTAGGACCCACCGCCTCCAGTACCATAAATACCCTCGCACAAATCCGCTATTTCCACAGGAAAAATCGGGTCCTGACCCGCATACCAACCGTTGATAAACGGGTTCGTGGATAGCTCCGCAATTTCGTGCCCGATTACGCTCACCATTCCGTCGACGGCGACGTCGCCGTTCGGCGATTTCACCGCCTTCAGCCCCGGAATAAATTCCGGCACGGCGAACGGATACGCGCAGATGCCGGGGCACCGCCGGCCGGAGTTTCCGACCCAGGCATACGGCAGCGTGTGCCCGACGATCGACGGGAACGTGAAGTAATGAAATCCGCAGACGTTGTTGCAGAAATCCTGGACGTAAACGTCGCCGGCGGTGAGGATGAGGTATACGCCGCCGTTGGGGTTCACCGGCAGCGGCCGCGTGGAGGCGGAGATCGCCGATTTTATCAGCGACTGTACGGATAACCGCGTGAATTTCCTCCCCTGCGAGTAAAACCGGTCCGACTTTTCTTCGCCGAGCCGGACGGTTCTCGAAATGTTGGCGCCGGTCTGGTCGGTGTACTGCTGGACGGTTCGCCACCAGCCGGCGACGGACGGCGCCGTCGAATCGGCGGCGGAGATGGAGGTTATGAACTCCCGGATTATCCGTTTCTGGCTGCTCCGCCAGGCGCCGTACCAAATCGGGTAGACGGTGATGTCGGCGGTGAGGATGGGGCCCATGTGGTATTTCAGATGGACGAATTCCGACGAGCCTTCGTACTTTTTGGAGCCGCCGTAGAGGTGGTCGGCGGCGGTGGAGTTGGTCGGCCAGGGCCGCCAGCAGGCGGCGGGTACGGCGAGTAGGAAGAGTAATAGAAGCGGCGGCGCGTGAGTGTCGAGCGCCGGCAATGGGTGTCGTATGGACATCGTCGGAAAATTGGGGAATGAGTCGCCGGAGAAGATTTTAGTGGAGTTGGGAATTCCCCATAAGTCAGGCAAATATATCTATATATTGTACAGAAAATGCGTTTTTTAAATAAAATAAAATAAAATAAAACAAAAGATTGGTGTGTTTGTTTTGTGTTTGAAGCTTTCTTTTTTTTTTTTTTTTAATGTTAAAAATGAAAATTAGCAATATACAATAAATAATTTTTTATATTGAAATTGTTAACTTTTTTTTTTTTAAGTAAATAGGTATATACTAATATTTTGTGTAAATATATTTGTATACTCTTTTCGTCTTGTACAAATATAATTATTTATTTTTTTATGTGAATTTTAATATATTAATATTTTATAGATAATACAATAATGATAAAAAAGAAAAAAAGTTCACTTTGAACTTTTTATTTTTTATTTTTTTTAACATTGGTGGCAGATGAAGAGAGTATTTTTTATAGTACTAATCGGATGTCCAAAAAATTATTTGATGAAAACACTATATATATATTCGTTTTTTTATTTCAAATAAAAAACATAATTATTGGAGGCACATGATTTTTATGAAAAATATTTATTTTATTTCACAAAATAAAAAATATATATAATCAAATCACTTGAGTTAAAATGCCCTCACCATATTATTTCAACTGATAATATTAAATTGAATGGTAAAATAAGTAATTTTCTCATTTTACATTTTCTGTGGCATCTGTATCTTCTTTTGGCTCACAACTTCCTTTTATCAAGTGCATATAATTGATTTGTATTTTTTACAAATCAAAATATTTTATTGGCATTTATTCCCATGGATTTGATTTTAAGTCTATTTAATTTGAATTAGAAACTTTATTATCATCCATGACGGGTGGCCTTCTAGAAAGTTTACCGGTGATGAGACGAGAAGTGGAGCGGATTGCCGATGGGGTTGTCGTCGTCGTCTTCCGCTTAGATCCGTACTTTATGGTTCTTCTCCCCGTGCTTTCTTCAAAAGAAAATTAATTATATCGATTTTTTTTATAAGATCATTATGATTGTATAATAGAGTATCAAATATATACTCGAAAAGTACTATTTTAATATTTGTATAGACTCTTCTTATGCTCTGCCAAGGCAGAATCTGTACTCCCGAATTATTTTGTTAGTTTTTATAAGTACACTGTAATCGTATAATTAACGCATGAAATATATATCTAAAAAATATCATCTTTATCATTTGCAAAAGCCTTTCTTGTTATGTTTTCTTGTAACACGGTCTTTACTATCATTCTATTAATTATTTTTTCTCATACGCAAAGCTAATTATCCTTAAAAAGTGTATAATAAAATTATAGAATTGATCTTGTTTGTAATTAACCATATGAAATAATAATCATGAGATTGACCGATTGATATTTATAATAGTATGCCACGTGTCGGTAAAAATTATGCTACTATTTTTTTCTGGTATAATGTATAAGAGGTTTATAATTTATTTAAATTAATTTATATTTGTTAATATATTTAAAATTATTAAATTTACTAAAAATAATTATCGCGTATGGGTAGAACTAAAAAATGGTCATTGTGGCTGGACCAATGAAGTATTACATTTATGTCCATTGAAAAGTTATTTTATATTTTAAAATTTAAATATCAATTATTTAATAATCAACAAACAAATTCAAAATAACCATAGGTGCTTTATTAAGATATATTGGAATATTAATTTTTTATTTAAAATATTAAATCAAATAAATTTTATTAAAAACAAATCAAAATTAAAACTTACAAAATAGAAATAAAAAATACAAAAACATTCCATAATACTATAATTTATATATAAATATTTATGGATAGAAAACTGAAAATTGGTTGAGACAATGGAGGACAGATAGATTCTTAAAAATGTAGGTGGGGGGTAAGGGGGTCCCACTACGGGGAATGGACGGTTAGATCTTGATGGTGACCCATAGATTTTTCGGTTCTAATTAAATAAAAAAAAAATTAGAATTTTAAAAATTAAAAAAAAAAAAAAAAAAAAAAAATACTCCCTCCGTCCGCTTACAAAGTTTACATATTTTTATTTTGGGACATCTAATTACAAAGTTTACATTTCATTAAATACCATATTTTTTCCCACAAATACCCTTACTTTACATCACATCATTACTTTTACACAAAAAAGTAAGGGCAAAAATGTCATTACACTACTTTTAACTGCTCATTATAATTAAAATGCTATTATTTTTTAAATACCGCGCCAAAAGTAATTGTAACCCTTGTAAATTGACGGAGAGAGTAAGTAATTAGTGGTGTGTTTGTTGGTAGTATTTGAATTAATTTTCACTCCCTCCGTCTCATATACCGTGTCTGCTACACTGTAGACACGATATTTTAGGAGGTGTGTAATTAGTAGATAATTAAGAATGTATTTAGTGAAAATAATTATTCTATAATATAAATAATTATAAATCAAGATTAAGATAACTAATTAATTTAATTAAAATTTTAAAAAATAAAATTTAAAAATTTAAAATGAGATTAAAGTGTGTAATCATTTTTAAAAAAGGAAAATGACATAGTATGTGGGACGGACAAAAACGGCAACGTGGACATGATATCTGGGACGGAGGGAATATTATTTATACAAATATTTTTTAAAAAAAATATCGAATCAAATATTTATTTTTCATTCTTAATATTATAATAAAAATTAATTTTACGTGCATCAAAATCTTATTTAAATATTCAAATAAAAAAAATTTAATTTTTAATAAAAACCAAACACATACTTGTATGTTTCATGAAAAAAAAAAAAATTATTAGGTTGTGTTTGGTTTTGGATTAGGGTTTTTTCAATAAAAAGTATAAATTTGAATAATTGTATAGAATAAAATAATAAGTATTAAAATTTGTTAAAAATCTTTCAATCAAACACATCCACAACAATTTAAAGATTTATTACTTAAATTTGATATTTTATATGAAGATTTTTTTATATTTAAATTTAATATTATATAAAAATAAATAATACTCTCTATGTCCCATAAATATAGTCTTCATTGAGTTGAACATGAGATTCAAGGAATATTGATATTATATTGATAGTTGGTAAAAAGTATGGAAAAAAGACTTTTTTGCCATTGTGAGTGTACTAGTGTAAAAAGCCGTAGCAATTGTGTAATAAAAATGAAAAAGTTTGGGTAATTTTACGTTAATATAGTTATTTATGGAAATAAGACTATTGTTTTAGAACGGACAAAAATGGTAAACAAGACTATTGTATTGGGACGGAAGAAATATATTTATTAAAAATAATATAAATTAAATAATTTTAATTTTAATTTAAAATAAAAACCAAACACACCTAATGCTTCTATTAAATTTCATTAAAATTATTTTTTATTTTTTAAAAGTGGAGCCAACTTAAATTTTATATTATTATCTTTCTCCTAAAAAAATAAATAAATGTATATATATTTAAAATAATCAAATAAATTTAAAAATTATTTTTAATCAAATATATTTACTATAATTATGTTAGTTTCTTTTTTGGCTATCAACTTTTCCTATTTTAGTAAATATTTTTATTGACTTATAATTTTCATTATTTTTATTTTAGAAAATTATAAGTGTGTGTTCTTTATGTGATAAATTTCTATACCTTTTTTCTAAAAATTAATATATTATACATATTTATTATTTTTATATTATATATACAATTTTCTATATCACATTTAAAAAAAACTCTTTTAAACTATTTTACAAAACAAAAATAAAATAATTATTTTATCATATTTTTTTACTAGTTTTATTTTCTTTTATCAATTCCTTATACTTATACTTTACTTATTATTTATCTTATTTATATATTAAAATATTATTATAATATTTCTTCCGTTTGGATTTTAACTTTTACACGTAGATTTTTTAATATTAGTATTATACTCCTTCCGTCCTACATAATCTGTCTATTTTTTTATTTTCATTCGTCTTATATAATTTGTTCTTTTTTAAAAAAATATATAATTATATACTTTAATCATATTTAAATTTTATAACTTATAATTTTTATAATTTTAAACTATTTAATTGTCTTAATTTTAATATATAATTATCTTTATTATATAATAATTATTTTACTAATAAATTTATTAATTATATACTAATTATATTTTATTTAAATTATCATATTTACAGTAATGCGCCCAAATTATGTAGAACAAAAGAAATATTAGTTTGTAGTAAAAAAAAAAAATATTTTTATTAGTATGATATAATATAAATGTAATGATGTTTATATAATATATTATATATTGTAAAAATATTTGTTATGTTTATATATATATATCTTAAAATTACTAAATTAGCAAACAGAACTCTTGTTTGATATGAATAAAAATAAAAAATAAAATCCTTCTTTTTATAAAACAAAGTAGAATATTTTATATACAATTGACCAACTCAAAAACAAACAGACCCTAAATGCAGAACGTTAATATCTGGATTTTGGCGGGAACCAAGGCTAATTTAGGGATTTCCCAGTTATCGCTTTTTAGGGGATTTCTGCTTTTTTGTTCTGTTAGAACCAAAAATTGCTTTGGTTGGCGACGTTTAATTGTTATTTAAAATCAATTTAAAATAAAATATTAATTTAAATTTTTATTTAAATAATATTAAAAATAATACTCTCTCTCCGTCAAACTTTAAAGATTTTATTTACATTTTACATTATTGCACTTAATATTAAAAAATCTTTATATTTATATAATTTTTTGCATAAATATCATTGTAATAGTATTATAAGACACCGATAAAAATATTTTTGTCGTTTTTTCTTAAATTGTATTATATTTTCATATAATAATTAATATTAAAAAATCAACGCATAAAAAATAAATGAGATCCTTGGAGCCGTAAAGAGGTAATACTCCATCTGTCTTTCAAACCATTTTTTATTTCCGTTCGTCTCAAAACAAGGTTACTATTTCCTAAATTAGTAATTGTACTATCTATTTAACATAATAAATACTCTTTTAACTTACAATATATTACACAAATATCATTACTTTTATATTACAC